GCGTCGACGATTTATTGTGACAGTGTGCTTTCCCCCTCCTGACAATCACGACGAAAACTGCGCCCGCTCGATTCGTCTTCGTAAGTCACGCGGGCGCACCAGCTCGCGTGACGGCTAGCTGTGGCAGCGCGGCGCGCACTGAGTCGGTGAGCGTTTTCTTGTATTTATTCGGCGCTTCGACATTGGGCGCAAGGGGAGGTCCTTCTCCCCCTCCTCCTCCCCCTCATCCAAGTCGACGTCGGAGCTCAGGCAAATTGAGCCCCGACGGAGGGAAGATTTTCAGTCACCCCTCACACGACTTACGGGTTCTGACAGCCACACAGGTTGCTCTGCCGGGACCAGGGGAGGAGAAGGAGGCACAACAAAACATGACAATCCCTGCGGCCCTTTCCGAGACGGCAGTTCTTTGCGATCCTCTCTAGAACGACTGGGTCGTGATCCGGTCATGGACATATCTTGTGCCGCATGTTTCCAATGTTCGATGGAAAATTTGAGTGCGACTTTGAAAAAAAAAAAAAAAAACCTCGAGCCAGAGACGCAGAAAACGGATCCGCAGTACCAGTGCCCAGAAATTCAAACTTGCCAAAATGAAAATATGTGAAAGGTTTGTTGCACACGCCCTGGGACCCTCAGCTTGTTGGACAACTTCGGCAGGAAGAGTAAGAGCGCAGGAGCCGCCGCCACAGGATGCGAATATGGGTGCCGACATCGAGGTGGACAACAGCGACTGCGAGAGGGGCGGGCAAACGGCAGCGGGGGAATTTGCAGAGCTTGCTCGGCTCCCCCTTTCCGCTGCGTCCAGCGGGACCCAGGGAAAAGAGCTGCCAAGGGAGTTTGCAAGGCAGCCTCGGCTCCTTTCTGCCCCTACTACAAGCTCGAGCCCAGGAGCAGCCTGCCCCTACTACAAGCGAGCCAAACCGTTTGACACAGCTGTTCCACGAGATAAAACAAATTAGCCAGACGAAGGACCCAACCATATGCAGGTGTGAGTACCGCAATTGTGATTCCCTTTTTCGGTGGTGATCCCTATGGGGCAACGAACCGTGCTAGTGGTGTGCCGAAATGAGTGGCGTGGTACACAACGCGAACGAAAACGATTGATCTGAGTACGTAGGGAGACTGAGCGCGGGTGAATCTGAGCGCGAGTGCGTCTGACTGTGAATGAATCTGCGTGCGAGCGAGTCTACGTGCACGAATGCGAGTATGCCAACGCATGGTGCACTTGTATATGAATGTTAATAGTTTGTGAATGACTGCCTCTGAGTACTCGTGACGCTGGGCGTGGCCGCCGCAAGGAGTTTCCCCGGGACTCCCCGACGGCATCGCCCGCGCGCCGCGACGCCACCGCGAGGATCGCGCCCGTTTCCTCCCCTTCTTTTACTCCCTCTTTGCCCGCGCACTCAAAAGTCCAAAGCTGCGGGCGCAGCGCAGCGCGGAGTCCCAGCGACGCGCGCAGGTCGCCCCGGAGGGGTCCCAGCGACGCGCGCGGGTCGTCCGCTGCGCGCAGCAAAGAGAGCTAGCTGGCTGGCTGATAGCGGGCAAGGCTCTTGCCGCTGGGCAGAGCGACGACGGGCGAGGGAGGCGCGGAACTCCGACGGCCTCCGACGGAGGTGTACTGGGTGGGGGAGACGCGTGCGGACTTCGCCACGGGGACCTTCGGTGGAGCTCCCTATGGGGCCACGAAGCGCGTGAAGGGTGTGCCGAAATGGGCGTGCGGGACGCATGCGGGCACACCCACTGGGACCTTCGGTGGAGCTCCCTATGGGGCCACGAAACGTGTGAGGGGTGTGCCGAAATGGGTGTGCGGGACGCATGCGGGCACACCCACTGGGACCTTCGGTGGGGCTCCCTATGGGGCCACGAAACGTGTGAGGGGTGTGCCGAAATGGTGTGCGGGACGCATGCGGGCACACCCACTGGGACCTTCGGTGGAGCTCCCTATGGGGCCACGAAACGTGTGAGGGGTGTGCCGAAATGGGTGTGCGGGACGCATGCGGGCACACCCACTGGGACCTTCGGTGGAGCTCCCTATGGGGCCACGAAACGTGTGAGGGGTGTGCCGAAATGGGTGTGCGGGACGCATGCGGGCACACCCACTGGGACCTTCGGTGGAGCTCCCTATGGGGCCACGAAGTGTGACTGATACACCCACTGGGACCTTCGGTGGAGCTGGATACGCGCATGCGGGCACACCCACTGTTCGGTGGAGGGGTGTGTGTGGGGACGCATGCGGGCACCCCACTGGGACCTTCGGTGGGGCTCCCTATGGGGCCACGAAATATGTGGAGGGTGTGGTGAATTGGGTGTGCGGGACGCATGCGGGCACACCCACTGGGACCTTCGGTGGAGCTCCCTATGGGGCCACGAAATGTGTGAGGGGTGTGCCTAAATGGGTGTGCGGGACGCATGCGGGCACACCCACTGGGACCTTCGGTGGATCTCCCTATGGGGCCACGAAACGTGTGAGGGGTGTGCCGAAATGGTGTGCGGGACGCATGCGGGCACACCCACTGGGACCCTCGGTGGAGCTTCCTATGGGGCCACGAAACGTGTGAGGGGTGTGCCGACATGATGGGTGTGCGGGACGCATGCGGGCACACCCACTGGGAAGGGGGCAGCGAGAGGAAGGTGGGAACGCGGGGCGCTGTCTCTTCAAAACGAGGACCCAACACCACAGGTTGGTTGGGAACAAACTGCGCACATGGAGTTCGGTTGGCCAGGCTTCGCATTCGCCTGTACACCGGCGAGCAAAGTTGGACGACAAAAGTCCGAGGGAAGTTGGAAGCCCCGAGGTTCGAAAGCAGCCACTGGGTGCCGATGAAAAACTTCGAAAATCCATACCCGAACACAACTATGTGGAAATGTTGTCCCAGGAGATCGAATCGCAACTGAATCAATGGAACCCGATCGGCCCCGCTTTGCACTCATCTATTTGCCGGAGGATGAGAATGGATGAACCTCATAAACCCATGGGCTCCCGCGGTGACAGATGAGATGGAGGTCTGGAAAGATGGAAGGAAGCAAACCCAACTATTTGGAAATAGTGTCCCAGGAGATCGACTCGTTTGTTCGCAGGAGAGCGACGAAGGTCTGGGAAGATAGGGGCCCCGAAGTTCAGAGACAACCGGCTGGTGCCGATGACGGATTTCGAAAACCCATGCTCCTCAATGATGATCTTGAAATCACAACGCTTCTGGGATTCTTCAGTTTTACAGCGACCAAGGAAGGAATCACTAAGCGCGTCTTGCACAACACTGTGCACGGAAGGGGGGATGTCCGTGGGAGAATCTGTTGAGAGACTCGAATTCTTGCTTCACAAAGGGATTGCAGGTGCGGATGAGGTGGAGAAGGCAAAGTGGGGCAAGGGGACCGGCGGAATTTCCTGGCGGGGGCTCCCTCTGACCTCTTATAGCGTTTCAACACACAGCTGTTGAAGGGTTTGTCATCGAAGAGCGGACGGGGAAACGCAACGGACGAACTTTGGACGGCATCTATGATATTATGTGGATCAGTATTGGCCGTGATTTTTCTGCGGATAGATTACGCCCCCAATTGGCCAACGGCGGCACAGTCCGTACTTTACCAGAAGTGGAATACGCTCTTCCGGAACGGGAAATCATTCGAGTTTTTGCCAGGTTGGGAGACAAGTACGCAATTGCCGCCATGTGAAGATCAAAACGCAGGCCAACTTGCACACCTAAGTTGGAGACGAATACACATATGCAACCACTTATTTCTTTGGACGGAGACGTTGTGCGAAACTTCAGCATGTGCCGCATTTGTTCCAGATTTTCTGAGTTATCGACTGTGACCTTGCAGAAGACGACAAGACGAAGTGACAGGCGAGCCGGAACGAGGTGAAGTAAACAAGAGCAGGGGCCGTGCATTGCTGAATGCGTTTGGCGCGGGGGGACGCATCTGTCTAGGTGCAAGGAGCGCCGATCGCACAAGCGAGGGCATCTCGGAGTGCATGGTGCCCCCCTCTCTTTTCTTCCTCGGCCCTCTTCTCCGTAGGATACAGAGAAGAACTTGGCTCGAGAATTCAAGAGGGGCTCAGGGAACCCTCCTTCTTGCGCAGGCCCGCTCGCACGCGCCATTGGCAACGCAGTGCCAGCGGTGCCGCACCCCTTGGGTTCATCGGAGGGCTACTGACTGGTAATACGGGGCTCCCTGCGAACGGGCCGCACGCTCGCCTGTGGTGGCGGGGGGGAGGTGAGGGCTCGGGGTGAGGAGGGCAGCGTGCACCCCTCTGCGCAGGCCTTGGCAATTTCCTCGATCAGATGTCGAAGGGCTGTCGAGTTCTTGGTGCATAACACTCACGCAAGGGAATTCCGCATACGCTCCACACTGCACATTAGCGGGCGCATTGGCATTGACCCCCTCATGGGGATGTCCTGTCCTGTCCTGTCCTGTCCTACTCCTCCTCCTCCTCCTCCTCCTCCTCCTCCTCCTCCTCCTCCTCCTCCTCCTCCTCCTCCTCCTCCTCCTCCTCCCCTCCCTCCTCCTCCTCCTGCTCCTCCTTCTCCACCACCACCCCTCTTGCCATCCTCTCTCCTCTTCCTCCTCCTTCTCCCCCCTCCGCCAACGCTCGCGCCCCTGAGGGGGGGGGTCTGGCTCCCGACCTCTGCTGCATGCGACTGCTTGCAGCAGCGCGTCTTAATTACGGAGGAGACTCTACCTGCTTGAAAAAGGCGCCGAAAACAGCGGGCATCCTATGGGGGATACCCTATCTACTCCATGGAGGGGGAGGAGCGGGTGCGGCCCGCGCCGATCGGCGAACCAACGAGTAAGAAAGCGTTCCCCAGTGTGCACTGCTGAATGGTTCTCCCAGGGGTTGGTGTGAAAAGCAACACCGCAAAAAAGGGATTCGCTCATAAACTTGGCGGGCGGGTGCAAGGGCAAGGGAGAAACGAATGAAGGTCCACAGAGCTTGGTGAATCGCATGTTCGCAAGATGGTCGTCGTCGTTGTCGCCAGATCGGCCTGGCGGGAGGGGCCCTCCTGGCGCTCAGCTCCTCGTCGCCAGCGCCGTCCAGCGCGCAGAACTTCTCGTAGGCGTCCTCTCGGGAAGGGCGTCGGAGGCCGTCGGAGACCCTCGGAGGCCGCAGGATCCCTCGGAGGCCGTCGAACGCCATCGGAGAGCGCCGGAGGCCTTCGAAGGCCGCCTGGCGCCCTCGGACGGCCGTCGGCTGGCCGTCGGGGGCGCTTGGAGGCCGTCCAGTGGCCGTCGGAGGCGGCCAGGCCCCCGTGCACACGGCAGGGCTTCGAAGTGCACCCCAGAAGCGACTGGCCGCGCCCCGGAGCCACTGGGGGGACAGCGGGCGTGGTTTCGCGACCCGGAGGGCGCGGGGAAGGGAGAGGCGGGAGGGGGGGTGGGTAACGAACGATCGAAGGACTCTGCAGAGGCGTGTCGGCGAGATCCTGGGGCCCCTGAGTAATGCCAATTACAGGGGTCGGGGTGGTTTTCTTTCCTTGAAGTGGGCAGGGTAGCGAATCAGCTCACGTATCTGGTTTCGTAACGCTTCCTGGCGCCAGGAGGCGCCCGATGTATCGAGGGCGGCGGCGGGGCCGAAACCAGCTGCATGCAGCAGATGTGGTAACCCCCCCTTTCTCTATCCTATCCTTTCGTCCTTCCCGAGGAGGGCGCGGGGAGGGAAGAGGCGGGTGAGGGGGACGAACGAACCAACGACTCTGCGTGTTGGCGAGATCCTGTGGTGGCCGCGGGCACTAGGCAGACTATGCCTGCTTTCGTGTCGAAAGCGCCTCCAGACGGTGCTTGATCGGGAAGGGCTGCCAACTCGCGTGGCATTAGATGCACTCTAGCTCCCCCCCCATGCCTCGGCTGAAGGGCCCACTGCTTCGAAGGCTGGGCACGGCTGTAAGGCGGGGCAAAAAATGCATCAACAGTGACCGCAGAGTCTCTCGGGAGGTGCAGACATAGGACACATAGGACCGCTACGGCGACTCTGGTGCTTGTGTTTCTTCGGGCTCTTTCTTTCCAGGTTGTGCAGGGACCGACCGTCCCGTCATTCCTATAGTCCTACCACGAAATTCCCTACCTAGGCTCTGCCTGGAAGGGTTCTTACTCGCTTTGCTTAAAGGGGCCGGGCAGTGGGCTCCGCCCCGGGCGGTTCCCCCAGGATCCGCCCCGCGGTTCCCCCAGCTACGCCCCTCTTAGCTAAGCCTTGCCTATCTCATCTTAGCTTAGCCTATTTCATTTTAGCTTTGCTGATTTCATCTTAGCTCAGGCCTATCTTAGCTTAGTTTACCTTCATCTCAACTTACCAGAGCTGTACAATAGCAGAGCACAACATAGCATAGCATAGCCTAGCGCAGCATAACATGTCATACCATAGCATATCACAGCGCAACAACGCATAGCGTAGCATAGCATAGCATAGCTTCGCTCAGTTTAGCTTCGCATAGCGCAGCGCTGCATTAGCATATCATAACATATCATAGCATCGCCAGGCATATCATAGCACAGCATAGCATAACATAGCATATCATCGCATAGCGCAGTTTAGCATAACATGTCATAACATAGCATAGCTTAGCATAGCACAGCGCAGCATGGCATAGTATAGCTCAGCATCTCATATGGTATCATATAATAGCATACCATACCATACCATAGCCTAGCGCAGCATAGCATGGCATAGCATAGGCCAGCATAGCATAGCAACTAATGCTGCTTTCCTTGGGGCTCCAACTTCTAGGTAGGGTCGCTTTGGGGTAGTGTTCGTAAACCCCAAAAAGTTCTAAGAACCGAAACCATGTTCTTAGAACGTAAGCCCGATGTGTTAAAACAACGCAATATCAACCAGGAGTGTTCTAAGACAATTTCGTGGAGACCACAATAGGTTCACAGAACATTATTTAGTAGGGCTATGGGCGAGCCAGGACGCTTCGCCACTGCTGGACCAGGGGAAGAGGGGGGGGGGAGTGGGGATGGCAGGGCGGGAAAGGGGAGGGGGAGGATGAGGAGGGAGCAGGGGGAGGAGAAGCAAGAGGAGGGTGAGATGATGATGCTGATGATGATGATGGTGGTGGTGATGATGATGCTGATGATGATGATGATGATGATGAGGAGGAGGAGGAGGAGGAGGAAAGCCGTTTGCGGTAACTCCATCCCCTGCACTCGCCCCTGGCGCCGCGCCCCGCCCGCGCGGTCGCTCTCGGGGGGGGGCTGGCCTCAGCGAACCGCCGCGCCATGGGAGGCGGGCAGCGTGCGCATTTTTACCCAGAACACCTTCCTCCACCAGGGGTTGAACTGCCACGGGCACGTCTTCCTCCACGAGTGGGAGATCATCGCATCAGAGTGTGCGGATATTCCGAGTCATCGCGGTACACATCGACGAGAACAGGATCAAGGCCTCCGAGACCACCCACCTTTCGTGGAGACACACCTGCAACTATGCCGAGGCTACATGCGACCAGGACGACATGGGCATGAACAGGTCCAGCTCTCAAAAGAATGAGATACCTCGTCTGACACGGGCTACGCCCACATCTCAGTGACATCATGACCATCGCTACGACCGCCCTTGCGATGGCGTCCACTACAGGACGGGCCAAGCCCCATTACTCGTGCGACGAGCTGAGTAACGGACAGCCTGAAGACGTCTCAGGAATCTACGACTCCGAGAGCGTCCCAAAATACGAGAAGTGCCACCAGTACGACACCAACTACGCCACAAAGTTCGACGATAAGTACGACAGCAAATGCCGCGGCATGAACCCAGACGAGATCACCGAGATTGAGGATGTCGTGGTGGACATGGGCGACCGCCAGCACAGCGACTATTACGGCGACTAGCACGGAGACCAGCACGGCGATCAGTGCCCAGAGCAGCGACATGTACGGCGACCAGTACGGCGACGCCGCCCCGTACGGGGACCAGCACGACCTCCAGGGCTACGATGGCTTCCGCAGCGTCTAGCCCCCAGGAGAGGAATGACGGGACTGACTCCGGCTGCTCTCACTCACCTCCCTTAATTACCCACTAGAGCTGCGTCCTCCAGGGCCACGACGGCCGTCAGTACCGCGACCATCAGAAGGTCGACCAGGAGGACAGGAAGACAGAGGAGGAGAGGCTACTATGGCAGGGGATGCCAAGAAGGTGCAGGAGGCTTGCAGGGCAGAAGAGGTCCAGATGGTAGAGGAGGTCAAGAAAGCATATAAACCCAGGAAGCAGAGGAGACCTTTAAGCCCGAGGAGGCCAAGAGGGTAGAATGCGAGGAGACTGAGCAAGCTGACGAGGAGGAGGTGGAGGAGGTCAAGCGGACTGACGAGGAGGAAGAGGAGGATGAGGAGGACCACGACGACGACGCGATCGTCGAAGGGGTCTTCGAACCAACACCAGCTCTCAGGGAATGGCTTTACGGCAATAAGATCCGGGACATCAGACGACGTAGCTGCGGCCTCGAGGATGCGCTCGAGGACCAGACCAAGCCCATCTTTTGTTTCACCGATGATAAACAGGCCGTCCAGGACGCCTGCGTCTTCGCCAAGACGCACTGCATGTACTACCAAGTCTTCAAGCAGATGGACGAGCAATTGAAGACCATCATCCGCCTGATGGAGTACTACGGGGACTCGAACGCCCGCCACGTTTGGCAGCTTCGCTGGAGTGGGGAGGATGAAATCCGTGAACACGATTCCGAGGCTGGCGACATGGACAGCGACGACGACGATGAGACCCTCCACAGGACCCCCTGCATCAGGCGCGAAACACCATGCCCCAGCAGAGCGCTTTCGGACGTCACCAGTGAGAATGCAAGGAGGCACAGGTGGAGGCAGAGGTGGAGGAAGAGGAGGACGCTGAGGCGACAAAGGACAGGGCTGCCAGCCTGCAGGCAAAAGAGGACAAGATGCTGGAGGACGTCCCCGAGGTGTATGAGGTGGAAGGGGAAGTGGAGGAGGACGAGAAAGGGGACGGCGTGGAGGCGCAGAAGGTACATCAGATATAGGAGGACCACTACCTGGCCCTCCTTCAGCAAGCGGTCGAAACTGACGACGCCGACGCTCTGGCTCACCGACTTCAGCTCGACCCCCCTAGGTCGGGGGCACAGGGACTGGTACGTCAAGTGCGCCTGCCAGGACGCTGCACGAGCCTGGAAGAAGTGCCTCGTCGCGCTGCCGGTCCAGGAGTTGCGGAATCAGCGCGAGAGGGAAGAGGAAAAGGCAGATGAGGAAGACGCAGAGGATGTGGAGGATGGGTGAGCAGAAAGCCGCTAGGCTGCCTGAGGGTGAGGCGACGAGGTTCCCTGAGGGAGGCGAGGAGGTCAAAGAGTGGCACAGGGGAGAGGGGGCCAAAGGGGAGGTGAAGGAGGCCGAGGAGATGGCAAGGCAAGCGCGCGAGGCCTTCCGTGCCAGGCGCCAATGCAGCGCGAGCGGACACCTGCGAAGGTCATGCGCAGAACTACGGCTACACGCGGGGCTGCGAGGGCTGCGAGGGCCAGCAGATGAGGTACGTGAGCTACGAGCACCACCACCCAAGCTGCGAGGGCCAACCGCGGAGCTAGGAGGGCCACCAGCTAACCTATGTGAGACTATGTGGGCCGCCAGCGGAGCTACCTGGGCCACCAGATGAGCTAAGACGGCCACCAGCAGAGCTGCACGGACCGGCCATTGCCCGAGCTACGAAGACAGCCAACTGAGCCTCGACGGCCAGCAACACGGTGTCTACCTCACGATCCCTACGGAACTACGAAGCATGCCCGTGGAGACGACGGGCCGTGATCTACAAGGACCACTTCGGGTACAACTACATGTTTGTTTCAACCCGAGGCTGCTACGCTACCTCGTCTACAGCGGCACTGCCAAGGTACGCCATGCACATCGCTGCAGGAACGTACTACGACATCCGCACCCGCTACAGCATCGCCTTGAATGGCCCGACGCTCAACCCATACCTTGCCCCTTTCTCTTCGATGATCGCATCAGAGTCCGGGCTTACCCTCAGTCCTCCCCCCTGCCAAAACGTCGTGATCTGGCGTGGGTACGACCCGAGGACGCGCTCGCCCGGCGCCCCGGCAACGCCCCACAGGCGAGCGGCGGCGGCTGGGAACGCAGCGTGGCGTTGCGAGAGAGAAAGGAGGGGGAGGAGGGGGGCAGAGGGGCGTGGGGGGATTGTGGCTGACCCAAGCGGGGGTCAAGCTGAAAGGGAGTGGTGCAATAGGTTTGGCGCAGTTGAATTGCAAACGTATTGCGCAAGAGGGTTCTATTGCATTGTATTGCAAATGATGTTTTGCACGCGAAAGCCCCGCAACACATCCGCGCACCAGAGAATACGGCACGCCCCAGATCGATTACAACCCCACAAATCTATTGCACCAGATCTACTGCACCACCCTCTCTTTTCTGGACCCCCTTTTTTGGTCAACCAGGGGGATGGTGAGGAGGGGGAGCGGGGGAGGCAAGTGACGGAGAGGGCAAGCACGCTAGGTGCGCTCACGCCACGTCTGACGTCTTGCCCCATCCAACCCGCTGCCGGCCTCCAGCCTGGAACACGCGCCAAGGCCACCGTCGGCGTCGACGCGGCTTGTAAGTCCTGGGGGGGTCTGCACCATTTCCGCACACCAAGGGGGGCCCTGGCAGTCCAGGCGAGGCAGTCCGAAGGAAGACGTCGAATCCATTTTGGCGGCGTGCTTGCTTCGGCAAGCAGCTTACCGCGAAGGCACGAGCTGCTTGGGCGGCGCTTCCCTATCGCCATGCGATGACCTCCTCGACCGTCATGATATTGTTCTGAAGCTCCGGCGAGGCCCTCGGCCGTCGCAAAACCCCCTGGTGCTCACAAGACGCGAGCAGACCTGCCGCGCCACACGAGCTCGGGGGCGTCCAAGAGGAGGCTCCGCAAATCACGGCCCGAGGCGCGCGCGCGCGGCCCAGGGGGGGCCAAGGGGCGTGAACTCCGGAAGGTATCACGGCCCTGGCCCTGAGATCCCCCCCTGGTCATCACCCCTCTCTTGGTCGCGCCACCCGAGCTCCTCCAGGTCGTCTACGTCGAACTTCGCCAGGATCCTGCGGGAGATGTCGGACCAGGTGACGCTCGGCTTCAGCTTGTACCTGGGCTCTCTGGGGGGGGGGGGGGAGAGGTCGCCGCTGCCCTGTGCAAAACACCCCTCCTCCTCCTCCTCCTCCTCCTCCTCCTCCTCCTCCTCCAACTCCTCCTCCTCCTCCTCCTCCTCCTCCTACTCCTACTCCTGGTCCTACTCCTACTCCTACTCCTACTCCTACTCCTACTCCTCCTCACTCCTCCCCTTCCTTCCTCCTTCCTCATCCTTCCATGACCACCTCCACATCCTCCAGCTTCCTGCTGCACGACCATCTCCGCCTCGACGACAACCTCCACCTCCTGCTCCACCTCCTCCACGACCACCTCCACCCTCGTCCACGACCACGACCACCTGCTCCAACTCCTCCAACAACGCATTCATGCCGCCCCGACGCCACCTCGCACACGCGCTGAGGTGCTGAGCCAGGACTCTACTTGGAGCACCGCTAAGGCTGCTAAGAAGAGAAGGGGGCCATCCATATATGCCAAGGTGGGTTGTATCTCCCCTATGCTAGCTTGTGAATGGGTTGCAGCTGCCCTAAGCGGCTTGCGAGGAGCAGAGATCTGGGCGAAGTGGGCGGAGCCCACTTTCAGCCACTTGGGGCAGCTGCAACCCATTCATAAGCTAGGTTAGGCAAGATACAGCAAGATACAACCCAACTTGCTATCCACTTATGGCTACATTGACATCCCCTTAGCAACCTCAGCGGTGAGCCAGGTACCAAAACGAATCCAGGGCCTGGGCAACGTTAGAAGAAACAAATGCCACAACTATAAACGTTTGGCGTTCCCTGCGGATTTCTTAGATCTGCGCTGGACCCCCCTCTCTGGCGCGCGGAGCGCGCCACGGGCGGCGCCGGAGGTGCCACTTAGGGGGCCCAGGCGCCGATCCAAGAAATCCGCGCGGTGCGCCAACAGATGCTTGCGTCGTTGCTTCTTATTCGAAGCGTGCGGCCGGGTCCGACCCGATTTTTCCCGATTCGAGGCCGACCGGTCCTGCCACCCCGCCGCCCCACCCTGCAGAGGCGGCTGGCGGGACCACCGCCGACGGCGGGGGCGGCGGGCGCGGCCTGGCAGCGCGCCCCTCGATCTAGGACCCGCACCCTCGAGGGGTCGACCAAGTCAGCATTCTTCGTTTTTCGTTCCGTTCTCGTGGTGAGGCGGTTGAGAACGAAGGGCATGTCCGACCGATTGTCCCCAGAGCAGCGTTTGGGCACAACTCCGAACGCGAGGCTGGCCAACGGTGAGCCCCAGAATGAAAACAATACGAGAACCAAGAGAAACCGAGAACGATCTACAAGATTGCGGCAGGTTCGTGTCGCGTCGACGCCAGCGTTCATTCCTGACACCGCGGGGATCATTCAACTTGAACGATCATTTGCGAAACGTCTCATCGTTCAACACCAACCGATTCTGGGTAGCCGGCGGCGTTCCATATTGAACGACGGCGGCGGAGTCGCCGCCAGTCAACACGTCGCGAACCTACCGTACACAGAATTTCTTCGCCAAACTCCTGGGCTCGCTGACCGAACAGACCACGTGATGCATGCATGAGAACTGTCGCCCTTTTCGCGATAGCGACTGTTGCCGGCCCCCAGCCGCTCCAACCCACACCCGGGACGCCAAGAATAGTTCTCGTTGACGTCCTCTTCCTCCTCCTCCTCCTCCTACATCCATCCTCCTCCTCCTCCTCCTCCTCCTTCATCCTCCTCCTCCATCCTCCTCCTCCTCCTCCTTCTCCTCCTCCTCCTCCTCCTCCATCCTCCTCCTCCATCCTCCTCCTCCATCCTCCTCCTCCTCCTGACGATGCATGCTTCTCGCGATCCCAGCCGCGAATCTGCCGCACCGGCACTGCGCCATACGGTCGACCCTCCCTGTCCCCCCGCGTGCCCCCCTGCCGCCCCGTGCCCGCTCGCGCCGAGCACCCCCGACATCCTCTCGCCCGAAACTTCGGTGGCAACTCAGGGGAGCCTCCTGTGCCTTTGAAGGGGCCCTGGGACACGCAACTAAGTACACACAGATAACAGGATTCCCATTATCTTAACATATTTGTTTGGTGTTCGTCTTCCCCCCATTTCCCATATGTTACCATATTTTCTGGGGAATCGACGATGAATTGTGTCTGTGTACCTTCTTGCTGGCTTTTGCGAAGCGACGCTGTCCGACACGAGTCAACGCCAAATCGACGCTGAGTCGACGCCAATTCGACGCCGAGTCGACGCTGAACCGACGCTGATCGACGCTGAACGCTGGCGCACGCTGGTGCACTTTACAAGCGGAGATATGAGGACACACAAGGCCCCCATGATCCGATTGATAAATAACGAAACCCCTGTTCTTCCAAGTCTAGCCGTGAAATCCGAAGGAGCGGCCATCGAATCCAAGGAAGGACCGAAGGGGCTCGCCACAAAACAAGCCACGGAACGCGCGCAACCTTAAGGAACCACACCGAGCCCCTTCCAACCTGGACCTTGTTTCAACGAACTGCTGGTATATCGGCGGGTTCACGTCGTGGCGACGTGCGCGTTAGTTCCCAAGACCACGTCAGTTGCGTGATAATAGGCCCCTGGCCCCAACGCAGATGCGTGCTCATGCAGGACAACAGTTGACAACTTTCTCTCTCCCTCTCTCTATCTGTCGCTATATGGTTAACTAAGAGCCACTCCTGCATCGCAAAGCGGGGGGTGGGGCTGAGAAGGGGCATGCAACTCCTTGACAAAAAACCTTGCCCCGAATTGCCGCCGCCTCGAACGCCAAGGCGACCTGCGACACCGACCCAGAATTTTGCTTCGGGGCCGGATCTCATCCAACGGCATCGTTCAGCACTCAGACACCGGGCGATTCCTGGGCACCGGCGGCGTTCAATAAAGGGGCCCCAAGACACACACAAATAAACACACACAAATTCGCCGGCCCAACGGGCCAGGGCGTGCTAAGATCTCCGGTACCTGGTTAACAGTATTTCTAGTTCGCGCGCGCGGGGCGGCCCCTGGGGGTCCCCGGGCGAAAAGTACCCCGGCAAGGTCCCGTCCCCGGCAAGTCCCCGGCAAGGTCGGGTCAGAGATGCTGGAGTTCTGTTTCGGAGTCCAAGAAGGCTCCAGATCGGTCCAAGAGGGCCCCGAGAAGCTTTCTAGACGGTCCAAGAGAGGCCCGAGACGGCCAAAGATCGCCCGAAGACGCCCCAGATGGCCCCAAGACAGCCCAAGAGGCCTCCAAGACGCTCCAAGGGCCTTCCAAGAGGCCTCCGAAGAGGGCCCCAAGTTGCCAAAATCGTTGATTTTCATTGGTTTTTTCTATGTTTTTTTGCGTTCTGGCCTTTTCGCTTCCGGACGCTCCAAGAGGGCCCAAGAGGCCTTCAAGACTGCTCCAAGACGGCCCACGAGGCTCCCAAGACGGCCCCGGAGCGGCCCAAGAGCGCCCCCCAGACGGCCCAAGTGCTGCCCAAGGCGGACCAAGAGGCCCCAAGACGGGCCCAAGAGGGGCTCAAGAAGGGAACCGAGAACTGAAAAATCGAGCCCTCCGCCCCAGAAGGCGCCCAGGACCCCGAAAGAGGCCCCAAGAGACTCTCCAAGACACCCCCAAGACGCCCCAATAAGCTCCCGTGAGGCCCCAAGAGGACCAACAACGTCAGGCCCCAGGCCCCAAGAGGACCAACAAATACCGCCAAGAGCCCGCCGAAAGCCCCCCAAGAGACCGTCACGAGAGCTCAGGAGGCCCCCTGGAGGCCTCCCGAGTTCTCCAAGAGGCCTAAAAAGAGGCGCCAAGAGGCCCCAAACGGCCCCACCGAGGCTCCAAGAGGCCACGAACGCGCAAGCAAACGCCTGCGATGGCACAATACGGGCCGGCGGAATGAGCGAAGCGATTAAATAAAAATATTCCCCATATGTTCCTATATGTTCTAAGTTTTTGTCTCCCCCCCACGTCCCATATTTTCCACTATTTTCCTGGTAGTCGCTGCGCGGGGGCCGCCGCCGCGTCGCGACACGGCACGAAGCTCACGGTGGGGCAGCATCGCCCTGGCACTGGCGGCACGCTGCGTACAGACTGGCGACGCGCGCCCCGTGGCGGCACCGCGTGCTCCTGCGCGGGCCGGGGCACCCGAGCCCAGGCTTCAGTCGGGCGTGCCCCCCTGCAGGGGGATTTTCGATCAGGTCGGGCGAAAGGGGGGGATAGCGAAGGGGGGGCTTGAGAATCAGCTCACGCAGCTGATTTCCCCGGCGCCTCCTGGCGCAGGAGGCTGCCATGGATCGAGGAATGGGCCCCTCGGTGGGGCCGAAACCAGCTGCATGCAGCAGATTTCAATCCTCTTTCCCAGCCCGATTCGATGAAAAATGACACATGCCCAAAAAATACCCCAAAATGTCAGCAGAATGCTCAAAAATAGTCCCCAGACTATCTTTTGACTCTTTCTGAATGTTCCCCCTCTTGCGCCCGACTTACGCCCAGGTCGGCGAAGCGAGCTCATAACTATTCGCGCAGGTGCGGGTGACCCGGGGGACTGCTGCGGCCTCAGCACCTGCCGGGCTCTGCTGCCGCTCGCCGTCGCGCCGACCGCATCCCGTGGGCGAACGCTCGGCAGGCCAGGCGAGCGCCGAGCGCAGGGGAGGAGACCCACGCAGCCCGCCGACTTGAAGGTGGAGAGTCGGAGACACCGCCACAGGATCTCTGCCACCCTGGTTGCCGGATGAGCCTGCCGCCCCCCCGGTGCGAAGGCGCGCTGCTGCGGAGAGTGCGGCGGGAGGTACACTCAGGAAAGAGGCACAAGAGGAGCCACAAACGGCACCGGGAGGCCGGCGTGGAAGTCTTGGGTCGGCGCTGGGCTCCCCTTCTCCAACGCTTCCCTGGCTCACGGAGCGCGCCCGGGAGGGGGGGGGGGGGGGCGACGCCGGATGTGTCGCCAAGTGTGCGTGGGGGGGGGGTCCTGGCCCAACACCAACCCAAGCAAACCGCGCGGAACCCCGAACATGTGCATCCTTGTCTTCAGAAAGCCAGGTCAAGGGATCTCCACCACACCCGTTCACAAATGAGACTGCATTCTGTCTGTCTGAAGGCACCCTGCCGCGAAGGATGCGACGGATGGTGCGTCCCGCGTAGACATGGCATGAACCAAACGCGACCTGAGTGAAACTGGTCCTGGACCCTGGCGAGCTTCCCCCAGGACCAATTATTCATCCTGAGTAAGTTGTTGACAAGCCTGGGGCCAAGAGAGGGCCACGTGCTGCCCGATACGGCGAAACACCTTCAGGCTCCCTTTCTCCAAGGGCACCCGTCCTCCATGCTCATCTAGGGAGCCCACGAAGAACGTACGCGCCCAATCATGTACATGCTTACGGCCCCTCAATCGTCCAGGAGTCTAGCCTCGTGATACAACCGTCCGCGCAATACGTGCTTTCGAAACCAACGTGAATTCATGCATGTGTACGTCCTTCCTTCGCTCCTGCTGGTATAGAAGGCAGAACGCCCCCCCCCCCCCCCCCAGAATCCGCCGACCCTGTCGGCGTGTGGAATGCGTTGTTCGTCGTGGTTGTCCTCGTACGTACTCGTCGTCTTATTTTCTGGGACCGTCGCCGCTCCCCCTCTCTTTCACTGGGCCCTCGTCCTCAAGCGCGCCAGCCAAAGCGAAATGAAGCAACCCAGCCAAAACGAAATTACGGAATAACGTTGTCATTGAGTCGAAGGAAACCCCTTCAATTTTATTCCTTCCCCGCCGGGAGGGGGGAGGGTCCCAGGGGGGGTCCCGGGGGGGGGGGGGGCCCATGTCAAAATAACCATCCCCCGTTTGCGGCTTTTACAGAGCGGCCCCTTGTAGATGCGCTGGACGAGGGGGGGGCGCCACAACGGATCTGCAAGAGCGCCCCTAGACGGCCCAAGCCCAACAAGACAGCCCAAGAACGCCTAAGGACGGCCAAAGGGGGCCCTCAGATAGGTCAAAATAGCCCCGCACGGACTCTCAAGAGAGGCCAAGAGAGGCCAAGAGAGGCCAAGGTTTTGCCCCGCCCTCTCCCTCCCATTTCCGTCGAGAGCCGAGGCCTCCAGAATTGGTTGCTTCTACTCGCTTCCTCTCGCTGCTCCCCCACTCCTCCTCCTCCTCCCTCCTCCTCCCCCTCCTCCTCCTCCTCCTGCTCCTCCTCCTCATCCTTCCGCCCCTCCTCCTCTCTCATCCGCCTCCTCCACCCTTCCTCTTCCCCCCCCACTCCTCCTCCTCCTCCTCCTCCTCCTCCTCCTCCTCCTCCTCCTCCTCCTCCTCCTCCTCCTCCTCCTCCTCCTCCTCCTCCTCCTCCCCCGCTCCTTCATCTTCGTCGTCTTCAGGGTCGGCGGCACGGGGTAACGGGCCGTAAGGCCTTCACACTAATCACCCCGACACGCGAAGCCGTGTAGCAAACGCACCCACAGAAGGAATCGGACAGGGCCGGAGCTGTGTGACAAACGCCCAGGGCCGTGGAGCACACGCCAAAGGCAAGGGTCCGGGCAGATTTTCACCCGATGATCGAGGAGAAAGCGGTGGGCCCGGGCGTGCCGGGACACGATGGACTGCACGAGCACGGTGAAGGCACCGGGCACCTCCTCGCGGCCGGGTGGAGGGCGGAGCGGCGAGAGGCGGGCGCGCCCCCCGGGAAGCACGGGGTCGGGGGGGGGGGGCGGGGCGAGGAGAAGGCAGAGGAGGGGCGGGAGGCCAATGGGGAGGCAAGGGGGAGATGAAGTGGGGGAGGAGGGAGGAGGAGGAGCAGGAGGAGCAGGAGGAAGGTGAGATGGTGGTGTTGATGATGATGATGATGATGATGATGATGATGATGATGATGATGATGATGATGGTGGTGGTGGTGATGATGGTGGTGGTGGTGGTGGTGATGGTAATGATGGTGATGCTGTTGCTGTTGCTGCTGCTGTTGCTGTTGCTGTTGCTGTTGATGTTGCTGTTGCTGTTGCTGCTGATGATGATGATGATGATGATGGTGATGATGATGATGATGATGGTGCTGATGATACTGATGCTGATGCTGATGATGATGCTGATGATGATGATGATGCTGATGATGATGATGCTGCTGATGATGATGATGATGATGCGGACGCCAACGTTGATGCTGATGCTGCTGCTGATGATGATAATGATGATTATGATGATGCTGAAGCTGATGATGATGCTGATTATGAGTATGAGGTTGATGATGATGATGATGATGATGCTGAGGAGGAGGAGGATGACGATGAGGATGACGATGCTGATGCTGATGCTGATGAGGATGATGATGAGGAGGATGATGATGATGATAATAATAATAATGGTGATGGTGATGGTGATGGGAAGGCAGGGGGAGGTTTAGTGAAGCCAACGTTTCGTTTTCATGAAATCTGGACAAGGATCGAAGCCCATTTCGAGCCACGGTCTCGCCCAAATGCACGAGGAGCGCCAAAGGAGACCCCTTCCGAAATCAAAAGGGACTGTATCACTGAACCCTTGACGGTCGGAGGGGGAGTGACCGCTCTCTGCCGCCACCAACTGCCCCCGCCCTTCTGGTCGCACCTCCAGGGTCCGTATCGGCTACACGCAAGAGTGTCCTCTGGTGCGTGGCTTTCGGGGGGCGCGATGGGGCCACACCCGAGCGTACTGACCGATGCGGGGGGGGACCCCTGTGAGCCTGCACCGAAAGCCACTCCCGCGGAGGATCACTCTTACAGTGGAGGCTAGTCCACAAGAAACCTTCCACAAGAAACCCAACCCTGAGACCCCAGGACGTCCAGTGATGTTTGGTGTGGGAACGTCGCGCTTTCCACAGCAAAACCATCGAAACCGAAGAAGCCCAAGGAAACCCTGGAGGAAAGCAGGGTGTTTCTTGGCATGGGTCTCCACTGTACGTGCAATCGACCGCAGGCCACGCTCTGGTGTCCACTCGCTCCACCCTGGTTCTTCCGTCGCCGCTCTTGCCTCGGGTGAAGCCAGGGGTGGTCCTGGCCCATGGTGCCCCCAAATCTCCGCGACACTGGGGCCCTCTGGACCTGGTGATGCGTGCCCTCTGGCAGTGCCTGGCTGTCGTATCTCGCTCGCCCCGTATGAGACAAGACAAGACAAGAAGCCGTGCATCCATGAAGGACGCGCGGGCAGAAATAGCAACTAAAAAATTGCCGCGGCCGCAGCGGGCGCCTCAAGGGGGAGGCGACGGAGGAGGCAGAAAAGCTTCAGATGCTCAGGTGTTCGATCACGTAAAATTGCAGAGAGAGGCTTGGAACCGGCACGCGTCAGAACGGCTGCGTTCGGAACTCTCGAAAAGTAGGAATGAGGTATGCCTAATATCTTGCGCAGGCACCTGCAATGAAAAGCGCCCAGCCTTGTTCTGTCAACCTTTAGCAGCCACAGAGAATCCAAGGAGTAGAGGACCTTGCTCAACACGCAGCTGGTGTAGATCTGCAACTTCCTTGCCCTGCTGATTGCAGCATGCTTCCAAATCTTACAAAAAAAATTGGAATATGCCTTTCCCTTCGCCAAGTCGCCGGTTCAATTCATTTCCCACTCGCCCATCGTGCGTGATCAAGCCTCCTAAGTAGACTGCCTCTGTAACTTGTGTAATGGGCTCCCCGGTCGGCCTCGCCACCACGCTGTCTGAAGCCACTGGCATCTGCAGAGTCTTGTCCCAGTTAAGCTCCAGGCCATATTTGCGTCCTTCCGAAACGACAGCATTAAGTAGAGCTTGGCAGTTTTCCCCATGTCTTGATAGTAGCAACGACTCATCCGCGTAAAGCACGTCTCGGGTAACCACATATCCGGGTTCATCTCGTAGCTGGAGACCGTGGTATACATCATGAAGCATGACACTCTGAACCATAATAAACAAGTACGGGGATAGAGGACAACCCTGAGCTATTCCAGCAGCCTGCCGCCTTTCCGTAGAGCAGCCGCAATGATCCACTATGGTGAAGAAGCGCTCCGAGTATATGCCTTTGATCATGTCTACCATCGGAGAAGGAACCCCAAAGCGCATCAAAGCTGCACACAAGCATTCCGGCTTTAACCTGTCGAACGCCTTTGCCCAATCAAGCAAGATTATCGTAAGGCCCCCGGTGTTGTCCACGTTGGCCGCATCGATGATTCGCCTGATCAACATGAGAGCGTCTGCCGTTCCCCGCCGAGACCGGAAACCGAATTGAGATGATCTCGTTCGTTCTTCAGCTCCTCCTCGTAAGAGCCTCTGGTGGAGCATTGACGCCAGTGCCTTGTAGCCAACAGTCAACAAAGAAATCGGGCGGTCTCTTTCTCCTTTCTAGGCGGTCAACCACATAGTTGCTAGGCAACGTGTGGTCTCCTTTCTTAAATAGAAGTATTACTTTCGCCCTCCTCCATTTGTCCGGGATATCTTTAGTCGCCCAGCATGTTTGGCAGATTTCCAGTAGAGCCCCGCACGCATGGGCATCTTCAGAAACGACTTTCCAGAATTCTGGCGGGACGTCATCTGGGCCAGCGGCTTTCCCATTTCTCATTTTCCGCAAAGCTTGTTGTAGCTCCCCCAGCGCGAAGGCAGACACATCCACTGGCAACTCGCTGCCCAAAGTGCTTGTTGACGTAGGGCTGATATCTGCAAATTTGACTTCCCATTGGATCTTCTCAAAGTAATCTGCCAAAGCGTCTGGCCTGCCAGCGGTGTCAGTCAAATTATTGTTCATGTCACGTACTCCTGCGTGCTTCATCTGCGGCTTCTTCCTGAGTTGCTTTACGGCGTCCCATTTTCCTCCCACCAGCGTCTCATGAATCCAATTCGTGCGATCATGCCGGGCTGCCTTCCGGATACGCTTGTGAAGTAGGCGCTCTGCTTGATAATCTCCAGAGCGGCGGCATGCGTCTCTCTGTTCAATCAAATCCAATGTAGATTGGGAAATCCATTCTTTCTTAGATCGAGCGGGCCTTGTCCGTAATGTGGAAGACGCTGAAGCGAACGCTCGCTCGATGTTGTTGGCCATGTCGTTATGCGATCCCTTCGGCGGCCGGTTGGCCTCCCAAGCCTCAGTGAAAGCCCTGGTAAATGCAGCCTTGGTGTCCGGCTCCTGGACAGAAGATGCATCTTTTTGAAATTGTGCTTGCGTGTCACGGTGTTTCTTGAATGCGAAATTCACCATCACCTTGGTCAGGAAGGGGTGGCTGTTCAATGCTACGGTACGGTCTGTCCTGCAATCCTGTACCCAAGGCAATACCGTGTTATGACACAACACGTGGTCAATTTGACTGAACTTGTCCGGCGAAATCGGCTCTGACGGTAGAGTCCCCAAGTTTCTGAACGTAATCTGTTCTTCCACTGGTACCTTGAAAAACGTATTCGCTACCAACATGTCCTTCTCGATACAGTATTCGATCAAAAGTTGTCTGTTAGATACTTGTTGCAGGATGCTGCGGGCTGACCCACCCGAGAATACACTATCTCCAATGATGTCTGATTCCCCCAATCCTTGCTGCAACAACTTGGCGTTGAAGTCGCCCAGTACTAAAGTAGTGCTGTGCGTTGTCGTGGGTTTCGTTATTGCGCCCAACTCGGAAAAGAAATGTTGCCTCTCGTCGTAATCGTGCCCGCTGTGTGGCGCGTACGCGGAGATAAGATCCAAGACACCATGTTGCACTCGAAGCCGCACTGATGCCAATCTTGGCGAATATGTCCTGAAAACTACAAGTGATGCCCGTGCCCATGGAGCTATTATAAAACCGACTCCTGCGTTGGAAAGCCGTTCTGCGTCGAGTTCCCCGGATAAACAAATTAAGAATCCAAGCTCTTCTTCATAATATGCGCCATGAAGTTGCGTCTCTTGGATACAAAGAATTCCCAGCCCAATGGAGTTCATCATCCGGAACAGCTCGGTAAGCTTGATCCTGGAGTCGCCTCGGAGTCCTTCAACACTCCGAGAACCCAATTGTTCCGAACCCAGCGGAACGCAAGAGCGGCGAGGTTGACACCATAGAGCTGTCTGCCTCGTGGAATGTGTCTGTCCCCCGGCCTGTTGCTGAGTTCGGTGGCCCACGCAAGTACGGGAAGAAGAATGCGAGCCTGTCCTGGCCGACTGTGCCTCGATGTCGGGGCCCTCGTTGTCGTCGGTCAGCCCGTCGACGGGGGCAGCGGCGAAGTGAAGGTTGAGGACCGCCGGGGCCCTGAGTGAAACATGGTCACGATGGGCCCGCCCTTCGGGAACGGCACCCGCGCAAGAAGATGGTGACGATGTATGTGATGAAGGTGTGCATGTGTAGATGGCCGTAGTGGCAACTTTGTCCAGTATACGTCCATCACAAAATGAACTATCATGCGTTGGAAGGCTTACGGAAACGGTAGCTTTGCCCATCACCGAACCAGATCCCAGAGGAGGGGAAGATGCGGACGTCAGAGCTGGGGATGCCTGCGCCGAAGTAGCCTGGCGGGCCAGAGTCCTCGGCGGTGGCACGCGAGACGCTGATGTAGAAGAAGCCGGGGGAGTAGGAGGAGACGAAGATAAATAAGATGGAGTATGAAATTGTAATTGTTGCTGCGGCTTGGAGTTGTCGCCCATGCCGGCTGCAGAAAATGTGCGGGATGCCGTAGGTCTGAACATAGCGGTAGCTTTGCCCTGGTTACGCCCAGAACCATCGGACTCAAGAGAACTAGGATGAGGAGGTCCATCTTCAACATATCTGTTGACGATTTTTCGGGGGCAGACATCTGAAACCGACTTGTTGGAGAAATTGGTAACTTTGCCCAGCATATCCCCAATGATCAAAAAGTTAGGCGGGTCAGATTGCGGATGTCCTTGTTCACCGGCTCCGGTATCAAGTCGGACGTTCCCTGATACTTGCCGCATTTCCTACGCCTTCCCGTCACCCTTAGATTTGCCCTTCGCCCCTCCCTTCATCCCTGCAGTCGCCCCGTATGAGGGCGAGGCAAAAGCAGGAACGGGCCTGGACGAATATGGACTCCCGGAGAAACGTCGGGTCTAGAGAATGCCAGACGAGCGTGGAACGCTCCGGAGCGACGTGTTCTGATCCTGGAATGGCGGGGCTGGCAGCGCGCCAAGGCGGGCGGGACGAGGGGTGCGGCCATCTGAGAAGGCAGGGAACAGACGAAAGACCACTCGTCTGCGCCTAGCTAAGACCAGGTAGAGGAGGCCGTGGCATTCTCGCATTCTGGAACAAGGCGCACTGCAACGTGCAATAGAAAGCAGACATGCTCTCGGAATGGATCGGACCTAGGAAAAAGAAGACGGGTCATGAGGGAAGCAGATCGAACCAGGGGCTTCTCCCCATGGCCTAACTTTCATCCTGAGTCTCGGACTGGGCTAGAAAGAGGATGAATCCGTTCCAGAGCGTTCTGGAACGCTCTGAAAAGGCCGCGGCGCCCGATACTTCCTCCAGAGCTGCTGAATCTCAGAGCTTAACTTATCGCTTTACTCTCACCCGAATGTATCCTCGTCCTGGCTTCGTCTTAGATGCGTATGTTGGGAGTCTGGGGCCCGGGAGCTCGAAAGCAACGAAAACCCGCTCAACACCTTCCGGACCTGTTTCCCTCAGGACCCCCCTTCCTTCATGGCGACGGAGGCCTCGAAGAGGGTTTCTGAGAAGCCCCCGACCTTCTGAGACGGCAGGGGGTGGGGGCCAAGAGATGGCTTCTCTAGACGAAGCCACGACGAGGATAACATTGGGCGAAGGTACATCGAGAATCTCTGGGATCGGGCGGATCTGGAAGATGTCTCGGGCGCCGCGGCCTCCTCAGAGCGTTCCCGAATACTCTGAGAGCGTTCAGGGAGACTCTGGACCAGACTTCTCCTCGTCCTATAGCCCCATCGGATCCTCTCCTCTGGAAGGCAAGGGGGGCGTTCTGAGACCTCTTGCCAAACAGCATGGAACCACCTGTCGAGGCGCACGAAAACGGGGGGGGTACAGTAGGGGCCCGACCACTAGAAACCTTCCGCAAGACACCCAACCCTGAGACCCCAGGACGTCCATTGATCCATGGTGTGGGAACGTCACGATTTTCACAGCAACAAAACCATCGAAATCCAAGAAACCCAGGGCACCCTGGAGCCAAGCAGGGTGTTTCTTGGCATGTGTCTCCCCTGTAGGGGGGATGCAGGCCGGCGGGCCTGGGGGCGCCCCGGGGCGCAGGGAGCGGCCATGTGCCGAAGAGGGTACCGGGCGGCGGAGCCTTTCTCGGTAGCCCCTGCTCCTCCCGCTCTCCGAGCACCCAACACTTGAGCGACGATCAAAAACGGTCTTACGCGAGATGACGTAGCGATCTTACACGGCGGCTTACGCGGGCAGCCAGCGCGGCACGTTACATTGAGAACGAGGGCGCTGACGCGCGAGCTTAAGCGGGCAATTTACGCGCCACTGCCGGTGAAGACGACCCCGTGTGTTGGCGTCGCTCACAGGAACAACCGCGAGATCTACGCACCTGCATATCATCTGACGGGGACGATGCCGATCGCAACGCTGGCTTGCCAACCTCAAGGGCACGATTAAACGATGCAGCGTGAACGCCCTGAAACTTGTAGACTCTTGCACTCGCTGGAACCTGCCCACGTCCAGATGATGCTGGACGAACCAACCAGTCCTCAAGAACCCATATTTCGATGTGCACCTGGTGCGTGGCGATAGAGGACCCGGAAACTGTGAGGGCAGGCTCGAGGAGCAAACAGCGACATCATTAACAATATCTTCCAGGGGCTTGCGCGGATGTCTAGGATCCGCACCGACACCCCGTCTCTGGCGCGCGGAGCGCGCCAGGGGCTGCGCCCGAGGCTCCGCCAGGGGAGCCCAACGCCGATCCAAGACATCCGCGCGTAGCTCTGAACTTTATAGTATCCATCTTTGTGTTCCACTGGGAGAGGTGGAAGGAGATTCGCCAGCCCAACAGGCCAGAGGCGGCGTGCGAAAACCTCGAGTCATACATGAATTGCATATCTAGTTCGCACGCGCGTGGCGGCCCCCGAGGGTCCCTGGACGAATAATGCCCCGACCAGGTCCTGGCTGGATGGGGGCAACCCAGGGGGCGGTCTTCACGGCCCTCAAGATCGCCCCACGAGCGCCCCAAGGAACCCTAAGGGAGCTCCTAGAGGACTCAAGAATCGGGGTCAATAGGTAGCAAGCCTCAAAAGGCCTCAAGATAGCCCCAAGTGCTTCGGACATGCCCAAAAGGGCATCCAGAGGCTAACGTTTTTTTTTTGGGGGGGTTCTGAGTTCTCGTAAGTGTAGGATAGATGCTGGCGCCACTGCCTTTTCGGGCTTCTGACCACCGCAGACAGCGCAAAAGGCCCCCAAGATCGCCCCAAGTGAGTCCAAGAGGCTCCCAGGACGGTCCCAAGATGGCCCATGAGGGCCCCAAGACGGCCCACGAGGCCTTCCAAGAGAGCTCCAGAGGCTCCCAAGAGGGGGAATCCGAACTGATATGTCAAACCCTTCCCCGAAAGATGGCCCCCGAGACCGTAAGGAGGCTCCAACGAGGCCCCGGATGCGCAGAACATCGCCCAAGAGGCCGAAAAAGGGTCTCCAAAGGGCCTCAGAAGGTCCCCAAACATACCGTCAAGAGGCCGCCGAGAGGCCTCGCAAGAGACCCCAAGAAGCCTCCCAAAGACGCGTCTTGTCCACGACCCAATTCGGCCACAAGGATGACTCAAGAAGCCATCGAGAGGCATCATCCTCATCCTCCCCTCTTCCTTCTCCTTCTCCTCCTCCTCCTGCTCCTCCTCCCTCTCGCTCGCCACGAACACACCAACAGATAGCACCAGTGATGCAAAATGGGCCGGCGGAGTGAGCGAAGCGATGACTGAGGAAGCGATGGAGAATGAAGGGAGGATGAAGAGAGGGAGGAAGGGTGGGGAGAAGGGTGGGAGGAAGGAGAGAGGGAGGATGGGAGGATGGGATGGTGGGAGGAAGAGGGAAGGTGGGACGGAGGGAGGGAAAGAGGGAGGGATGGAAAAATGAAGGGAGGGGGAGGGTGGGAAGAAGGGAGGCAGGGAAGAGAGAGGAGGGGTGCAAAGGCTGCCCCCCCCGTCGCGGCCCGCCGGGCCCGCGGTCGCAGGCCGACGAGGGCCCCGACCGGGCCGTGGCCTCAGACGTGTGGCGCGCAGGGAGATCGGGTGGGAGGCGCCGGGGGGGGGCAGCCTTCGCATCCCTCCTCTCCCTTCCCTGCCTCCCTTCTATTCCCGCCCTCCACTCCCTCCCTTTCTCCATCCCCCCCTCCTTCCCCCCCTTCGTCCCACAACCTCCCTCTCCCTCCCTCCCACCGTCCCGTCCTCGTGGCCTCAGACGTGTGGCGCTCAGGGGGATCGTGCGGGAGGCGAGGCGCCTGGGTCAGGATCTCCACGGCCTCGTACGGCAGCACCGAGCACACGCAGTACGTGGACGCCACCACCCAGGCAGAGCGCGGGTTGCCTCGCGGGGGGCTTGGCCCTCAGCGGGCCCCGGAAACCACAGGTCAATTTTCCTACCAAGTCCGTTGTGCCGTTCCTTTGCTGGCTCCGGCGCCGATCTTTTTTTTCCGGTTCGGTCTCCGTTGTTTTGCTGGTTCTGGTTCGGGCCCCAACTCTGGAGCACTCTGGTTTCCACTTCCGGTGGCCGTTTGGTTTGTGTACCCGTGCCCATTCTCAAGAGACTCCTTCTCGGAAACGGCGGAACAAGAAGGCCCTCCCGTTTCTGGGGCCCACCAAGGCTGGGCCAGCGACCTGGAAGAGCCCGACGCCCGGCGGGGCCTGCTACGGCGGCCCCCGGACCCCCACACCCACGACGACCCCGAAGCCCTCCGTCCCACGACGACCCACGACGACCCCCCGACTGCCGCCGACGCCCCCCGCTCCCCCCCCCGCCCCCCGCCCACCACCAACGTGCGTGCTTGCCAGCTGCTGCCCTTGCCTCCCCCTCTCCTCCTGCATGTTGGCGTCTGCGCGCCGTGTTTTCCCTTTTCCCCCTCCCTCCTCTTCCTCCTCCTGGCCCCCCTCCATGCATGGCGCGGGCGCGCGCGCGCGCCTAACGGCGGGGTCTGGTGGCTCACGCCCCGCGGCCGCGTCCTCGCCCCGTGCGCTCTCGCCGCGCGTTGTGCGCAGCGGTCGTTTTCCCCTTCGTCCTCGTCCTCGTCCTCCTCCTTCCCTTTCTTCTTGTCTCCTCTCTGCGCTGCAGCGCCGCCGCCCTGCGCGCGCCCGCCCGCGAAGGCGGCCAGGCGCGGCCATCAGAGGCCTGTGCTCCTCCGGCCTGGGTCGGGGGCTGCGGCTCGCAGGCCAGTGGAGTGTAAATAGCGCGCCCTTGGCCCTTGGGCCGGCTCTTTCCGGTGCACAGCCCTGCGCCCCTCGGAGCTGTTCGATTCTTGGGCTCGCCTGGTTCTGGGCCGCCCCGCCGGCAGCTGCGAGGCGGAGCCCCCGCCCTCGGCGGGTCTTCGTGCCCCTTTGGTGCTCCTCTCGTGTTGTACAGCCCTGCCCTGTTCGATCTGGAAGAGCAGCAACACAGGAGAGGAATGGGCTTTCAGAGCTCCGCTGGGGCCCCCCTCCCCGATTTGCGCTGCACCTCCTCCCCGACGCGCGGAGCGCGCAAGGGGCGGAGCCAGAGGCGCCGCCACGGGGGCCCAGCACAGATGCAAGCAGTCTGCGCGGAGCTCTCAACGCTATGTGAATCATGCAGCATGTTCTTCTTCGGCTGAGGAGTGGGGGCGGAAGCAAAGGGGACTGGAGGAGGAGGAGGAGGAGGAGGAGGAGAATGAGGAGGAGGAGGAGGAGGAGGAGGAGGAGGAGGAGGAGGAGGAGGAGAGGGGCAACGGGCTTGTCCATCAGCTGGCCGCGGCCCTCAGGGCTCGACTGCTCCAGAAGGTTGTGCACAGCTGCGCCGGACAGCTCTCTCTGTCCCGACGTACGGACCACAGGCTCGTCAGCGACGTCGGCCCCCAGGGATCCTGACCCCTTCCCTGGGGCGGGCTTCACATCCTGGTACGTTTTGGACTGACCCCCAGGCCGGGAAACGGCCTCCCGAGGCCGAACATCGGAGGCGCGCAAGGGGGGGAAGCGAGAGTGGGCAGGCCTTCTCAGAAGGAAGCGGGGCTTCTCAGAAACCCTCTGGCCTTCCGAGAAGCCGTCTGCGTCTTCCGAAAAGGGGCCTGGACAGCTTCTGAGAAGGCCCACGCCCTCTGATTTCCCCCCTGGGTCCGTTGCCGAGAAACCGTAGAAACAATTGGCCGTCGCTGTTCTTTTCGCGCCGGTCGGGACTGAGGGTCGGAAGCTGGGCGAAGGCTGGCAAATCCGCGGCTGCTAAAACGGCCTTCTCAGAATAACAAAAAAATCCAGGAATAGAACTCAGCGCGCAAAATAGTAAACGGGCTGCTTCCCGGAAGGAGAAAAACAACTCTCTGAAGCTCAATTTTCACAGCTAGGGGGTTACCAGCCTTCGCCTGGCTTCTGAGAGGGCCCCCCCAAAAAATAACGCCTCTCCGCGCGCCCGCGCGCCCTGCAGCACGCCCGTCGCCGATGCTGGCGGGTAGCTGGGAGGGGCCGCCGGAAGCGAATGAGAGGCCGGCCGCCCAGCCAGTGGACATCGAATCGGAGGTGAGGGGGTGAGATCGAAATAGAACGGAGAGCCCCCCTACCGGGAAATCGATTTCGGTTTCGTGTTCGTGCGTGCCGTGCGGGCGAAGCGAAGCTGCGTGGGCGGGCGAGAGAAAGTCTCCTGTGGCTGAGGCGCGGCCGGACCAAATGACTCCCTTCCAGGCGGCCGGGGCCCCGCGGTGTCCCGCCGGTGTCCCGCTGGTGTCCCGTGTGGCTGAGGCGCGGCCGGACCAAATGATTCCCTTCCGGGCGGCCGGGGCCCCGCGGTGTCCCGCCGGTGTCCCGCGGTGTCCCGCGGTGTCCCGCAGTGTCCCGCGGTGTCCCGCGGTGTCCCGCCGGTGTCCCGCGGTGTCCCGCGAGGATGAAGCTGATGAGATGATGATGATGATGATGATGATGATGATGATGATGATGATGATGATGATGAGATGAGATGAGATGAGATGAGATGAGATGAGATGAGATGAGATGATGATGATGATGGCGTCCCGATGAAGATGATGATGATGTTGATGATGGTGTCGGTGTTGCTGATAGTGTCCCGACGATGAGGATGATGATGCTCATGATGATTATGTTGATGATGATGACGATGATGGTGTCCCGATGATGATGATGATGATTCCGATGATGTTGGTGATGATGATGAGGATGGACATGGTGTCCGGGCGATAATGATGTTGATGATGGTGTTGATGATTATGGTATCCCGATGATGATGCTGATGGTGATGATGATGATGGTGATGCTGATGGTGTCCCGATGATGATAATAATGATAATGACGATGTTGATGATGATGTTGCTCATGATGATGATGGTGCTCCAATGATGATGATGATGATGATGTTGATGCTGATGTCGATGATGATGATGATGCGATGATCATGATGATGATGGTGTCCCGAGGATGATGACGATGTTGATGATAATGTTGATAATGAGAACGATGGTGATCATGACTGTGTCCCGATTATGATGATTATGATGGTGCTGCTGATGATGATGACGATGACTGTGTCCCGATGATGATGATGCTGATGTTGATGATGATGATCTTGATGATGAGATGATGATGGTGATGATGATGATGTTGTCCCAATGATGATGATGACGTTGATGATGATGTTTATAATGATGATGACGGTGCCCTCATGATGATGACGATGTTGGTGATGCTGTTTATGTTGATGATGTTGTTGATGATGATGATGACGATGATGGTGATGATGACGTTGATTGTGAGAGCGATTGTGATATCGATAGTGAGATCGATATTGAGACCGAATGAAGATCGATTGTGTGATCGATTGTGAGATCGATTGTGAGATCGATCGAATGAGATAGATCGAGTGAGATCGATTGAGAGATCGATCGAGTGAGATCGATCGAGCGAGACCGATAGTGAGATCGATACTGAGATCGATAGTGAGACCGACCGAGTGAGACGTTGGTTCCCCCCCCCGAACCTCCTTATCACCCGAAGGGTGGTCGTATAGGTAGGGTATCGACTACCAACTTATACATCGGAGGTGAGGGAGTGAAATCGACGTGGAACGGAGAGCCCCCCTACCAGGAAATCGATTTCGGCTTCGTGGTCGTGCGTGCCGTGCGTGCGGGCGAGGCGAAGCTGCGTGAGCGGGCGAAAAGAAAGTCTCCTGTGGCTGAGGCGCGGCCGGCCCAAATGACTCCCTTCCGGGGGCCAGTGGCCCGCGGTTTCCCGACGGTGTCCCGCTGTGGCTGAGGCGCGGCCGGACAAAATGACTCCCTTCCCGCCTCCGGTTGCCCGCGGTGTCCCGCCAGTGTCCCGCCGGTGTCCCGTCGGTGTCCCGATGATGATGATGATGATGATGATGATGATGATGATGATGATGCTGATGATGATGATGATGATGATGATGATGATGATGATGCTAATGATGATGATGATGATGTCGATGATATTGATGATGACGCTGATGATGATGATGATGATGATAATGATGTTGATGATGAGATGATGATGATGATGATGATGATGATGATGATGATGGTGTCACGATGATGATGATGATGATGATGCTCATGATGTTGATGATGATGATGTTGACGATGTTGATGATGATGATGGTGATAATGATGGTGTCCCGATGATAATGATGTTGATAATGATTATGTTGCTGATGATAATGATGATGATGATGTCCCGATGATGGTAATGCTGATGATGTTGATGATCATGATGATGTTGATGATGATGGAATGGTCATGAGATGATGATGTTGATGATGATGATGGGTCCCGATGATGATGATGAGGTTAATGATGATGCTCTTGATGATGATGGTGATGATGACGGTGCCCCGATGATAATACTGTTGATGATGATGACGATGATGGCTATGATGATAGTGATGTTGATGATGAGGATGATGATGAGTTGATGATGATGATGTTGATGATGGTGGCCCGATGATGGTGATGATGATGCTGATGTTGATGATGATGGCGACCCGATGATGATGATGATGATGATGATGGTGGTGATGATGTTGTTGATGACTATGATGTGATGATGATGATGATGGTGTCCCGATGATGATGACGGTGTCCCGATGATGATCATTATGATGATGATAATGACGATGATGGTGCCCCGATGATGATGATGATGACGATGGAGATGATGATGTTGATGATGATGGGGATGAGGTGATGATGATGCTGATGATGATGATGATGATGATGATGATGGTGTCCCGATGGTGACGATGTGGATGACGTTGATGACGATGATGATGTTGATGATGATGCTGATGATGACGTTGATTGTGAGATCGATTGTGATATCGATGGTGAGATCGATTGTGAGACCGAATGTGAAATCGATTGTGAGATCGATGGTAAGATCGATAGTGAGATCGATAGTTAGATCGATTGTGAGATCGATCGAATGAAATAGATCGAGTGAGATCGATCGGCATAGATCGATCGAGCGAGACCGATAGTGAGATCGATAGTGATATCGATAGTGAGACCAATGGAGTGAGACGTTGGTTCCTCCCCCCCGGACCTCCTTATCACCCGAAGGGTGGTCGCATAGGTATATTTATCTACAAACACGTTCACAGTTCATACATCTGAGAACATTCGACATCTCTTTTCCGCAGATTCGACGGGAAGTTCCAATTCTGGGGTAAATCAATTCTGTAGTCGATCCCCTACTAGGGGACAAGAAGAAGAGCGTCGAGCGGGAGCAGGCAGCGAACAGGCCCGGACCCGGCAGTGCCCGGGGGGGGGTCGCCACCAGGGGGCCCGCCAGCCCTTCCTCCGCGAAGCGCTGCTCCCTCGAGGGTAGGGCCTCCACAGGGGGGCATGGACCCCCCTCGAACTACCCCCCAGACGTCCAATCAACCTCCTCGTGATAGGCATGTTTTCCATCACCACCAACATAAGTTGGAGGGGGGGGCGTCTTCCTCGTCCTCCTCCTCCTCCTCTTCGTCCTCCTCCTCCTCCTCCTCCTCCTCCTCCTCCTCCTCCCCATCCTCCTCCTTCCCCCCTCCAACTTATGGTGGTGGTGGTGGAAAACAGGCTCATCACCGCGAGCTTCGAGCCCTGTGGCCCAGACCCTCAGGAGGAACTGGCCACCTCCATAGAAAGGCGATCTCCCGGATAGCGTTTCTTGGGGCGTCGAGAGGGGGCTGTCCGAGAGGGAACGAACGCCTGATCCGTGCGCACGCCGCGTGGGCGCCCGCACGCGCCCGTTTGTGCGTGGCGGTGGAGGCCGTAGCCTCGATGCGGAAAAACATATGGTGTGTCTGAGGAATATGCAACGCGAGATACATCAAAAAATTAGGAAGGTAGGGAGGGGGGAAAGATCCTTGGAGTCGGTGTCGGCGCGGAGCTCGGTACGCTTGTGTGTGTGTGTGTGTGGGTGTGGGTGTGGGTGCGTGTGTGTGTGTGTGGGCGTGTGCGTGTGTGCGTGTGTGCGGGTGTGCGTGTGCGTGTGCGTGTGCGTGTGCGTGTGCGTGTGCGTGTGCGCGTGCGCGTGCGCGTGCGCGTGCGCGTGCGCGTGCGCGTGCGCGTGTTTGTGTCTGTGTCTGTGTCTGTGTCTGTGTCTGTGTCTGTGTCTGTGTCTGTGTCTGTGTCTGTGTCTGTGTCTGTGTCTGTGTCTGTGTCTGTTAGCGCGGGGCCTATAAAGGCTAAAAAGAGCCCGCGCAGGGCCCAGGCCCCACTGAGGGGCCAAAGCCCCAAGGGGCCATCCCAAGACAGGGGGCGGGCCACAAGGGATCCCGAGAGCCCAGACGAGCCGCAGAAGGCTGCCACCAGGGCACATCGGCCCCGAGGCAACGCTCGGCCTGTCAGCTCAAACCCCCGTCGAGGGGCATCAGCGTGAAGCGCTGGAATATATACAACCGTGCAGACACGCGACGGGCGACGCCCCAAACATGCTTGCACAGCCCCGAGCGGCACGGCGAGGCGGGCGAGGCGCAGGAAGCTTCACGCCCACGCGCAGAGGCCCGCGGCCACCAGGGGCCCAAAAAGCACAGGAGGACAGGAGGCGGACGCAGAGGGAGGACATGAGGAGAGGCAGGCTGGCGCTCCACAGCCAGGAGCGTCCAAGGCTCGGCACGCGCGCGATCGCGCGGTCCGAGCGCCCCAAGGCTGGGGCCAGCGCGGATTCAATCACCTCCATCTCCGTCATCTCTGCGTCGCTTCCTGCTCTGGCGCTCGAGTCGGGCCTCCTCGGCCTCCTCTGCCCAGCTCAGCAGGCTCTCCTCATCGAGGCCGTAAGCATCCAGCCAGGCCTTCCGCGATCTCGCTCCCGCCGCGGCGCCTCCAGCCGCAGCGGGCACCTCAGCCGAGGAGGGGGCCGCGCCGCCAGCGCCGCCCCCAGCTGCGTCGGCCACCGAGGCGCTGCTCGCGACGCCTGCTGGCGCAACAGGCTGAACTCCGAGCCACTTCAGGAAGCGCACCCTGGCGTCCTGCGGCACCTCGGCCTCCTTGCGAAGACGGGGGGCATCCGCCCCCTTCCTCCGCGTGTCGCGGGCGTGCGGCGCGCCCTCAGGGTGGAGGCCGCGCTCCCGCCGCGACTTCTGGTCACGCAGCGACCTGGGGAGGCCTGTTGCTCCAGGACAGCGCTCCCTGAGCTTGGGCCGCGGGCCAGGGCGTCCGCCTAGCCTCGCATGCGCTCCGCACCTGGTGCACGCAATGATCTCCTGCTCGTCGCCGTCCTCGCCGCACCTGGCGAACGCGAGGGCGTGGCCAGCGACGGCGAAGACCAGGGCGCCCAGTGCGACTCCGCCGTCGCGTGCCGCCGAGGCCCAGGCGCCGGCAGCGGCGGGGCGGCTGCCTGCCTGCTCCCCGCGGGCCTCCACGGCGGCGGGCGCGGCGTCCGACTCGCTCACGGGAGCCGCCCGCAGGCCGTCAGCACGCTCCTCCAGCGGGACCGCGAAGGTGACAGCCGTCCTTCGCTCGTCGCACACGGGGAGGCCCTCGCAGTCCTTGGAGGCCCTGCCCTGCCAGACGATCGAGACCTGCGCGATCCACCTGGAGAGCTCTCTCGCGACCTCCATCGCGCCGAAGAACTCGCGCCTGGCAGTCGCGCTGACCCTGTGGAGGGCCGCTCCCGCCTTCGCCAGCCTGTCGGCGTGGGCGTTCCCAAGCCACTGACCCTCCGAGATCCTGCCCTCGCGAACATCGATCTCGGTGCAGTGGCGTAGACGGCCGACCACAGGTGAGCATTGGGCTTGTTGGCCGCCGTCGCATACTTCCAGCCGGGCTTCAAGCAGCTGACTGCGGACGCACAGTCGATGTTGATCTCGATGATCGAAGGCCCGAGGTAGCGGCTCAGCATCCAGACCGCGAAGTCCTCGCCGTCCTTCGCCGTCTGGAAGGGGCACAGGTCGAGGCGGACCGTGCCGTGCACCGCCGCCTGCAGGTTGCCGAACTCGTCGCACTGCACGATACTCCAGCCTGCCCTGCGGATGCATTCGAACTCAGGGTCGAGCGCCGAGCCGTCGAGGTAGAGGCGACCGCCTAGCAGCCCGTCGGCAGGCCTGTTCACCCACATGACTGCCATCGCGTCCGACCTCCAGGCCGTCTGCGGGGGCTGCGGCAGCCAGCACCTGGAGAAGCACTCCCCCGCCTCCTCGCCTCGCTGCCTCACTCGAGTGGCGCAGCGAAGGAGGCGGGCGGACACCGAGTCCCTCCTCTCAGCGGACAGGGCTTGGCACTCGAAGAGCTTGTGCCAGAGGCTGCCGCGCCCCTCGCCGCAGGCGCAGCAGCGGGGGCGGCGCCGCTCGCCAGCCGCGAAGAGGCGAGTCTGCGGCCAGTGGGCGTTGGACAGGTAGCTCACCACCGCGGCCTTCTCCCTGCAGCTGAACTTGCCGCGCGGGCCGATGACCTGGCCGAGTGCGCCCCAGAACAAGGGCATGGCGGGGGCGGTTCCGCGTCCAAGCCGCGCCATCTCAGCCCTGCCGGAGGCCCTGCGAGCACCTGCCGCAGCCAGCAGTCCGAGCTCGCGGGGGCCCATGATCAGCATGTCCAAGGCGTGGCCGTTGTCGGTGTGCATGATGTGCCCAGCCGAGAGGCGCCAACCAACCCGCAACAGAGAAAGGGCCAGGGCGTCGACGGGGCTCTTGCAGTTCACCCAGGGCGCCCTGGCGCTGCCGTGCCTGCGCTCGGCCTCCTCCAGGCAGGTAGCGAACATCCTCAGGGGCACCTCTCCCGACTGGAGGAAGCTGGCTGCCATCTGCACCGCGGCACGGACAAGGGCTGGGCTCGGGTCCAGGTCAGTGGAGCGCTGCACCTCGACGCCCTGAGCCTCAGCCCAAGGGGGGCGCCCTTGGGAAGCTTCCCTGCCGAGCGCGCAGCCGCCAGGCGCCAGGAGTGAAGCTCGCCGTCAGGCACCCCTGTGACCGTCCTGCCCCACAACGTGGCGGCGGTTGGGCCAGCGCGGCGCATGTGCACCACCGCGGCCCCCGCCGAGCCCAGGGTTCTCAGCCGCCTGGCACGGGAAAGGCCCCCCGCAGCGCGGGCGCCTCCCTCATGGACCCCATCTGCGGGTCACGTTGGCGTCGGTGCCCAGGTTGCGGGCCTGGGGGCCGCGCTTGACCTCGAAGCCGAGGGCTGCCCGGCTGGCGGCGAGGCCGTCCGCCACCTGTGCCGACGAGGCCAGGAACACGGACTTGCCCTCATTGAGCGGGAGGTGGTCCACAACCAGCCTCGCCGAGCCGACAGCTTGGAGCGAGACGTCGTCAACTAAGTTGCGCAGGGTGGCCAGAGGCCGCTGAGCCCCAGCTGCGAGGAGGCCACCAAGTAGGGGTAGCTTAGCAACAGCCGTCGCGCACGCGCAGCCCGCCAGCACTGCGCGCGCCACTGGCCCCAAAGGGGGCCGACGCCATGCCTCCTGCCAGCACGATCCTCGGGGCCTGGTAGATGGCGAGGAGGCCGCGCAGCAGCTCCAGGCTGAAGCCGAAGCGCTGGGCGGACGACCAGAGGACGTCGTGGCGCACGTGCTCGTAAAACCTGCGGATGTCCAGGAACAGGCTGGCCACCTCGAAATGCGGGGAGGCCATCGCGATGCCCGCGAAGCAATTGAAAATCCAGCCCGCTCTTTCGCAGTCACGGCCATCGCGACCCCAGAAGAAGGGGAAACTGTGGTCTGACTCCCATCAGGCGCAGCACGGCTGCCTCAGGCGAGACCACAGCCGCAAGGCCAGCGGGAGCAGCGCGATGGGCCTCGTCCCTCCGTCAGCTTTAGGAATGAAAACCATGGGCGTCACCTGCCCCTTGATCGAAGTAGGTTTGTCCTCGAACGCCGTGAGGATGTCAATCGGGCGAAGCTGCAGCGCCACTGGCAGCAGAAGGAGCTGGCGAGGGTGCAGGTTGTCGCAGCCCAACCCCACAGACGGGCCATAGCGCTTGCACGCCTGCTGCAAGGCCTCCCGGGTGATGGGCGGCAGCGTCCAAGAGCCAACATCCCACCGGTGGGTTCCGACCCCGCGGGAGAAGCCATCCTGGAGCCAGAGCCGCTGCCACGTGCGCGCGAGCTGGTCCACGGCGTCCATGCCGACGAGCGGCCTCCCAGCGTCGGCGTCCCTGACCACAGGCGTGGGAGCCGCCTTGGAGAAGCGGTGGGCCAGGCGGCCTCCTTTCTCCACCGCCGTCTGGGCCCAGCTGCGCCAAGCGGCCGCGCCTTCAGCGGCATCGCGCCTCTGGGGCGCCAGGAGCCACGACTGCAGCTTGGCGATCGCCGTGGGGCAGCCCTTCACCCCCGCGTGGAAGGCGAGGTCGCCCCACTTCTCGTCGGAGGCCCCAGGGAGGGGCTCGCTCCGAAGACCAGCCACCTCCTGGGTCGCCTCGTCCAGGAGCTTCGCCCTCGCCGCCGCCTCCTGCTCATACCACCAAGAGTGGTTCGGGTGCTTCCTGCCGGCCTGCTCGGCCCGAAGCCTCTGGAGGGCGACCGCAAGGCAGCTCCTCAGGCGGTGGGTCAGCATGCTGTACTTCAACCTGGCCTCGCGCTGCACCAGCGCGCTGAAGGGCATGCGCCTGGTCTTGGGCCCTGCCGCTCGCCCAAGGTAGCGCGGCAGGTCGCCTGGCGCAATCTCGCGGATGCCCGTGAGAGTGCCCTCCGCCGCCTCGATCCACTCGCCGAAGGCAGCGGAGAGACAGGTCGGGCGCGAACCCTGAGCCCATGACCAAGCAACATCCTTCTGCGACACCTTCCCGCGCTTGCCGACAGCGAAGGCCTGGACCAGGGCGTCCTCGTGGGAGCGCAGGCCTTCGACCTCCACATCTGGAAACCGAGCAGGACGGGGGGGGACCTCGACCAGGGCATCGCACCTGACGTCCTGGAGGCGCAGCAACACAGGAGAATGCGGGTGCAGCCCGAAGCCGTTGAGCGCGGTCGCGCAGGACGCCGTGCACGTGGCCAGGTCGGACGACGCGACGAACCAGTCGCAGACGTGCTCCAAGACCTGGGCGCAGCAAGTCGCCTCGGAGGGTCCGAGCACTTGACCGCGAACTGCTGCAGGCCAGCCCAGCTCCTGCAGGGGCTCGGGCTCCATATTGAAATCAGCCTGGAGGACCCAGGGCAAGTCGAGCGAGAATGCCACTAGGTCCGCGACCGAGGAGAACAGGTCGAGGTTGATCCCCCGCGGGCCCAAGCAGTGCTGGAAGTACCCAGCCAAGGCCAGGAGGCGGAGGCCCGACGGCGCGGTCACCTCTACGCCGATGAGGCGGTGGCGCAGGGCCGCAGGGATCTGGCATGCGGACTCCTCGGCCTGGAGACCAGCCCTCACCAGGATCGCGACGCCGCCCGACGTAGCGTTCGGGCCAGGCTGGCCCGTGGCCACAGCCTCATGGAAGAAGGCGGTGTAGCCGAGGCGGCGTGCCAGCGCCCTGGCACCAGGAAGGCGCTCCTGGGTTAGCCTCGTCTCCTGAAGGAGGGCCAGCTGCGGCCAGTGCTGGTGGGCGTGGAAGAAGGCCTCGAGGACCTCGACGCTCCTGTTCCAGACGTTGCCGTTGCAGCCCAGGACCTCCAGGCCAGCACGCAGGGGGCCAGGTCCTCGAGGGCCCGGCTCAGGGGCGGGCTGCGGCCCGAGGCAAGCCTTGCCAATGCAGGCCTCCTGCGCCGTCATCCTCGTCCTCTGGTCACATGACACCTTGGCTTGGCTGCGCCCGTCGAGGGTCACGGCCACCCGCTCGTCAGCGGCCTCGACAGGGAGCGCGGGGGGGTGAGGGGCATCGGCCACCCGCCCGTCGGCGGCCCTCACCGCCCCCCTTATGCCAGGTGCCGCACTCGCAGGTTTGCCCAGGCCCAAGGAAAAGCATTGGGCCCCCCGCTCCACTGGCACCTGCTCACTCAAGCGCCGTCTGACCCTCCTACTGTCAACCGATCACGGGCCTGCCGAGTCGACGTCAAACCCGACTGCGGCCCACAGCAGCACGGCCACCAGCCGCCGCCGCCAGCGGCTGGTCGTCAAGGAGGGCTGCGCCAGCGTTGGCCAGGTCCCTCGCCTGCGGCTGGGCTGAGGGCCACGCACCGTGCGCTTCCCCTCGCCGTGCAGCTTGGCCGCGCTCGGCAGCGTCCTGCAGAGGGGGGGCCGACGAAGCACGCACCCGCTCCTCCTCATCTCCAACGAGGTCCTCGTCCGAGATCAGCGAAGGCGGCCTCCCCGTTGCCCGCGGCGAAACCCTGGGGCAAGGCCTCGACCTGCTGGATGAGGCCGAAGACCATCCCGAGCAGGTCCGTGCCGACGAAGGCCGCGCCGACCTCCTTGGCTTGCCTGGCCTCTGCGGCCCTCTGCTCCTCTCGGTGAGCCTCGAGAGCAGCTCGGCTCTCCTCAACAGCCTCAGCGCATGCTGCTTCGCGCGCGATGGCTGCCTCGCGCTCTCCGATGGCTGCCGTGTGGGCCTCCTCAGCCTTGAGCAGCGCCTGCTCCTTGGCCCGCCCCTGCCTGACCAGCTTGCCCAGGGCGTTGCCAGCGCCGTGGAGCGACTTGGGCAGGGGGGTGTCGGCCTTCCTGCGCTCCGCCAGCGCCGCCTCTGCTGCCGAGAGCCTACGACGCTCGCGGTCGAGGGCCGAGCGCAGCGACTGCAGGCACACATCGTCGATGGACTCGCCAGGGGCCGCGAGGAAGTCCTCGATGCGCTTGACCTCCTGGCGGTGCCGCTCGACGGCCGACGGCTGCACGCTGCTGGCCTCGCTGACGCCTGCAAGACTCTGTCCTGGCCTCGCTGACGCTGTGTCTGTGTCTGTGTCTTTGTCGCTGTGTCTCTGTGTCTCTGTGCCTCTGTGTCTCTGTGTCTCTGTGTCTCTGTGTCTCTGTGTCTGTGTCTGTGTCTGTGTGTGCGTGTGCGTGTGCGTGTGCGTGTGCGCGTGCGTGTGCGTGTGCGTGTGCGTGTGCGTGTGCGTGTGCATGTGTGTGTGTGCGTGTGCGTGTGCATGCGTGTGTGTGTGTGTGCGCGTGCGTGCGTGCGTGCGTGCGTGCGTGCGTGCGTGCGTGCGTGCGTGCGAGCGTGCGTGCGTGCGCGTGCGTGCGTGCGTGCGCGCGTGTATGTGTGTGTGTCTGCGTGGGAGGGGGCACAGATCATGGCCGAGTCATGTGCGCGGACGAGGGGGGGGATCAGGGCACCTATGGAAAACAGAAAACGGGCCCTGCAATCCGGGCAAATGTCATGATGGCCCAGGCCATGATGTCTACCCCAGCAGTCATCACCCCCCTCCTGGCCGCCCTCGAACGGTTCTCGGGGCTCTTCTGACCCGGGTCAATCCAGACTCGGGTCAGCCGGGCCCTGCAGAATCCTACAAGATCCTGCAAGGCCCTGCACCCAAACCCGGGTCAATGCGCAGGATCCTGCACACAAACCCGGGTCAATGGGAGCCTGGCCCTGCAGGATCCTGCAAGATCTGGCGCTATGGCTGACCCCTGCTTGCATTGACCCCCGTCTCAAGGCTCCCGAGGTTCCCCCAGGTCCCCCAGCGCGGGGGGCGCGAAGAGAGCGGCTTTTTGCGCCAGAGGGCTGCCCTCTCCAGGGGCGGTGCGGGGGCGCGACGATAACCGCGGGGCGCGGTGCGGGAAGAGGGGTGAACTGCTTGTGTCACCGCTAAGCTTGGATCCTCAAGTGAGTTAGATGTGGCCTAGTCGCACTGATGGGTGATAAGTGCGCTCCGTCTACTGATCCCAGACCTTTGCCCCCCGCAGGCCGCTGAGGGCACTCGCCACCTTTCTTTCAGCTAGACGAAACCAGATATCGCAGACCTTTGCATCCAATTGGAAAGAACGCCCCTACAGTCGAGGCGTTGACATAAGGAACCCTAAATAAGGAACGAGGCCCCTTTTTCCCATAAGTTCAACCTCGATTTCCCATGGAAAACCTCAGGAAAACCCGAGGTAAACTTTGAAACAAACAAGGAACACCGAGCCCCTCCCCAACGAAAAGGGTTCCCTCTTCAGCGCCCCGGCTGTATCCCCTTAGCAACCGAAGCCGCGATCCGAGTAGACTCCCCCAGGTCGAAGGAGGGCCACTGGAGACAACGGCGGCTCTCCCGCCTGGCCCAAATCCAGTCACGCTCGGTCCCCCGAACCCTTCCTTTCGGCTCCCGCCGTGGCGACGAGGAGCCTCCCAGAGGCCCACTCGGAGAAAGGAAAACGCCAGGCAGAGCCGCAGTTGTCTCGACTGCGCCCCCCCCCCGATGGAAGGCCCCGCGGTGTCCAGGGCTCGCTTCCATCGGTGCAAAAATCCAGCGGCCCCCAGCGGACCGGGTGATCGCAGCAGCGGCTGCCCTCCAAAAACTGGACCAGAGCGAAGGTCGGCGGCGAGCGAGGGGGGGAAGCAAGAAGGAGAAGGCCTTCTCTGACTCTCTGAGGACTTCTCGGAAGCCCTCGCGCCTTCTGAAAAGTTGTCAGTGTCTTCGGGGAAGGCTTAGAAAACTTCTCAACGGCTTGGGGGGCTTCCGAGCCTTCTGCGAAGGCCCGCCTCTTATAACTTCCCCCCCGGGTTCTCCGTGAGAAAGGGGGCGGAGGATCGCAGTCGCATCGCCGATGCACCGCCGATGCACCAGAAACGTCAAGACGGAACCGATCGGCTCCAGATCGCGCGCCACATGGCCGATGTGGCGCGGTCCTCCAGCCCCATCTGTGAAAGCCTGGACTCCCGCCCTCGCTCACGGTGTGGGGCCACCTGTGAGCATGCCGAGCTCCCCGAAGTAGTTGCCGACGCTGTAGACGGTGAGCAGCGGGTTGCCCTGGCGCGGCGGCGCCGCTTTGATGATGATGATGATGATGACGATGATGGTGATGAGGACGGTGATGATGACGATGACGATGACGATGACGACGATGATGATGATGATGATGATGATGATGATGATGGTGGTGATGATGATGACTATGAGTGCGATGATAATGATGATGCTGATGATGATGGCGATGAAGAGATGATGCTGAATATGTTGATGATGTGGATGATGATAACGATGGTGATGCTGATGCTGATGATGCTGACGACGCTCATGCTAATGATGATGTTGCTACCCATATGATGTTGATAAACATGAGAGTGACGATGATAATGATGCTGATGCTGATATGCAAATGGTAATGACAAACATGATGCTGCCGTTGATGATGCGTATGACGATTATGAGGATGATGACGATAACCATGATGACTCTGATTACGAGTCTGATGATTATGATGATTATGATGATACTGATGCTAAAGAAGATGATGATGATGATGATGATGATGATAATGATAATGATGATGATGGTGATGATGATGATGATGATGATGATGATGAGGACGATGATGATGATGTTGATGCTGATGACGATAAGTTCGTTGTTATGTGATGATGATGTCGTTGTTGACCTGGCAGGGCCGCGTCGCTTCACGTCCCGCCGCAGGGCGACGGAACGACGAGGCAAGACAAGCCCCGGCGCGGTGAAGCACCTCCGAGTTCGGGGGGGGCGGCGGCGGGCCAGCCCGCCCCGTCGCGGGATGGCGGCGGAGGGGGGCAGGCGGCAGGGCTGGCAAAGCAGAGGCCTAGATCTCCGACGACGCGACCTTTCCAATCTGGGCACTGCTCCTCGAGGTCGGCCTCGGGGGCCCTTCGTCGGGCCCCAGGTCGGGGATCTGCTGACCCTGGTCTCGCTACCGCTCGGACATCCATTCCCCGTGCATGATTCGGCGTCGTGCGGATATTTTCTTACAAAATGGCCCAAGAAGGCTCCTCGATAATCTCCGCCGAGAAAAAACACACACACGTCCGAGCGATGCCAGGGGATCAATGCAAACCCGGGTCAGTCGGGCTCGTCAGGATCCTGCAGGATCCTGCAAGATCCTCCAGGATACTGCGCCCAAACCTGGGTCGATGAGCCCCTGGCTCTGCAGGATCCTGTGAGACTCGGCGCCATGGCTGACCCCCGTTTGCCTTGACCCCCGTCTCAAGGCCCCCGACCAGGACCATCAGAAGCGGATCCAGGGCGAAACACTGTGCCCTAGGAAGGGGTCGGGGCTCCTGGGCCGCGCATCGAAAAAGATACCCTCCGATATACACACAACAACCGTCGGTTCCCCAAGGGGTCGGCGGTGCGGCGTAAGCCCAAGAATCAGTGTCAATGAATGTGTGCTTGCGTGGCGCTGTGCTCGAGCATGCGTGTGTCTTTGGTGCGACGCATGCTCATATGGGGTGTGCGGTGCTCGTTGCGCGGCGGGCGAAGGGCGTGCGGCGAACGCAGTTGCGCCCCCGCAGGGAGCGCACGATCGCACGAGCCATGCAGATCGCACCAGCGCCACAAAGTCCCTGTGCAGAAGCACTCCCGAGAATCCCCCAACAGAACTCCAAGATCTGGCCACCAGGTTCCCCTGAGAGGCCCTGGGAGACCACCAAGAGGCCCTTTGGGGAGCCCTCCAACGGCGCAGTGTGCGTCAATGCAGGTCATCAGCCGAAGATGGCCCTCGGCAGGTTTTATGAAGGCGGACATAGTTCGGGCGTGCAAGGCCTCAAGAGCTCGAAGAGGTTAGAAGATGGGCCAGAGGACCCCAAAAGACGGTCCAAGACCACCCCAAGAAGGCTCCACTACGGCCCGCCCAGACAACCCCAATATGGTTCTGCCCGGCTGTTTCAGGAAAACTCGGTGAAACCAACGCGCCCAAGGCGGCCCCGGAACATCCTGGCAACCCGACTGGTACGTAGAACATTCGGTTGTTCCACAAAGGAAGACGACGGGCGCCCCTGCATGCAAGTTCGATGCTGCGGTGGAGCGGAAGCGGCATCTTGGCTGATTGTACCCGTGGCAGGCATGCCTTCACCTGTGCCAGATCTCATGCCCCATTTCCTTCGTCGTCGTCGTCGTCGGAGGAGGATGAGGAGGACGAGGAGGAGGATGAGGAGGACGAGGAGGAGGAGGAGGAAGAGACCGCATCCCGTACTGAACGCCACTCCACGAGCAGCGCTCGAACAGACGCGCAGCGGCAGCAGCAGCGCATGCCACAGAACAGCAGGAAGAGGTTGGGCCCCCCCACGCGGGAACGAGGGGGTGCACCGCGCCAGGACCCCGCGACGGGAGCAGGAGATCCCCAGGAGGCGACTATGCGGGGGCATGCCTGGTCATTGCTTAGGTTCGGAAATGGCCAGCACAGCAAGCGGATGTCCAGGACCTCTGCCGCCAAAGAGGGCCCTCCAATAATCCCAGGCCGCCCGAGAGACCTCCCGAGAGACCTCGAGGTCCTATGGTCCACGACCCAGGCGCGGTGGCGGGATGGCCGATGTGGCTATGTGACAAGCAGAAGAGACAGAAAATGATATCAACAGGAGAATAATCAACCGACCCTGTCGGCATGTGGAAGACGCTGTTCTGTCCGACTCGTCGTCGTCGTCGAAATCCGCGTTGTCGTCGTCGTTCTGTTTGACTCGTCGTCGTCGCTATTGCAGTTGTCATCGTCGTCGTCGTCGACGTCGTCGCACTCACTGGCTCCTCCTCCAGCGCGCCAGCCACAGCGAAACCGAACCGAAACCTCAAGGGCGCCAGCTTCAGCGAAGGCAGACCGAATTTACGTCGCAGTTCACTCGAAGGGACGCCCCCTCCCTTTGATCCCCTCCTCCCAGGGGGCATGGGTCCTGGGGGGCGGTCTCGTGGGGGGTTGGGCGTGGCTTAATGGGGGGGTCATAAATTGGGGGGTCAGGAACGGTCCCCTTTCGTGCCCCTTTCGGGCCCCTCCAGAGCCCCAAGGTGCTCGTTTAGGTACCGTTTGGGTACCTTTTCGGACCACCCTCGCCAACCCCCATTTATGACCTCCCCATTACGCAACGCCCAAGGGGGTACCGCGGGGGGTGTCCCAGGTCAAAAAACCATCACCCCAGTGGCGGTCTCCGGGCCGAGCAGCGCCTCAAAACGGGCCAAGAGTGCTCCAGGAGGCCCCCCGGACGGCCCACGGGGGCCCCGAATCGCCGAACGATTGGCCCTAGACGCCAGAGGTGGCCTCCATATGGCCCAAGAGGCCTCCAAGACGCCCCGATCGTCTCTCAAGGCGCTCCCCAGGTAGCCTCAGGAGGCAAAAGCTTTTCCTGGGGCAATCGAGGATTAGGGCGTTCTCGCCATTACAGCCACCCAGCATTCCTCCACCGTTTCCCTTTCCTCCTCCTCCTCCTCCTCCTCCTCCTCCTCCTCCTCCTCCTCCGCCTGCTGAATCCTCCTCCTCTTCCTCCTCCTCCTCCTCTTCCTCTTCCTCCTCCGCCTCTTTTTCTTCTCCTCCTCCTCCTCCTCCTCCTCCTCCCTCCTCCTCCTCCTCCTCCTCCTCCTCCTCCTCCTCCTCCTCCTCCTCCTCCTCCTCCTCCTCCTCCTCCTCCTCCTCCTCCTACCCCCCCGCGCCCCCTGACCCGAGACTGACTGCAGCAGAGCCATCAGCGCGTCATCGTCGTCATCTTCGTCGTCGTCGTCGTCATCGTAATCACCGTCGCCGTCGTAATCATCGTCGTCTTCATCGTCGTTGTCGTCTTCAGGGTCGGCGGCACAGACCGCGAAACCTTAACAATACTATAGCATGTATGGGGACGAAACACGGCATGAACATAAACTTGAGTTTGTTTGTTTTTTTTTTTGGGGGGGGGTCCGGCCCCAAGTTGGGGGTAACGGTAACGCGCGGCGGGGCCCTCGCACGGGCCCTGGTACTTATTACCGGCACAACCGTCGGCACGGTAGGTTTCGTCGTCGTCGTCGTCGCCACTGTCGTCGTCGTCGAAGCCGACCGTGCCTGTGCACACTACACAGGCTCTGTACACCGCGATGCCTTTGTACACCAGAACTGCGGCAGAAATGGTATGTGTGTGCACCACGGCGACTGAGCACATCATGACAGGCGGGTGCACCACAGCGCCCTTGTACATCTCACTGTTGGTGCACACCACGGCGCCCGCGTGCACCACAGCTGCTGTTTCAACGCCCCGTGTTTGAACCAGAATGCCAGCGTACACTACAAAGTTTGTGTACTCCTGTAAGGTACCAGCGGAGCGAAAGTCCAGAAGATCGTTCGGGGCCCAACCGTGGCCCTTTCACTATGTGAGCTGCTTGTGGATCTTAGTTTTCTGGTTCAAAAAGCGCTCGGACCTGTTGGGCCCACAGCGCCTGTGTACTCCAGTGCGACTGTGTACATCATGGGAGTGTGAACCGTGGCGCCTGTGTATACCACATGGCATGCGTGCACCACAAAGTTTGCGTACGGTTTGTTCGTGCGGAGTGTGAACCACGCACGGTGGGGGCGCGCGGGGCGGCGGCAGCCTAGGGAATACAAGAAGCAGGAGCTCCCTGCACAGGCACAAGGCCCTTGAGACATGGGTCGACGGCTGGAGCGTGCACGCGGGTGCGTCGTCGTCGTCGCCGTCAGTTGCGACGGCGACCGGGGGGGCAACGGCGGCGGCGGCGGCGACACGGGCGGCGGCGACGGCGACCGCGGCGACGACGACGACGACGGCGGCGGCGACGGCGACGACGCCGACGGCGGCAAGCGGCGGCGGCGGCGGTGAAGGTGACCGCCGCCGCCGTCACCGCCGTCGTCGTCGCCGCCGATGCCGCCGTCGCCGTCGCCGCCGCCGCCGCCGTGTCCGCAGCCACTTGCCGAAAGCTTCAGCAGCGCTTGGGGCCCACTTGCTGGATACACATGCGGGGGGCTGGCGTGACCAACCGCGCGAGGTAGGAGGGCCGAGCGCTGGAAGGACATGCGGCCACATCCGCGTGCAGGTCTCGCCCAGTCCAGCCCCTTGCACCAGGACAAGGAGAATGGAGGGAGGACAGTGGTAGTAGTCAGAATGATATTGGGAGAGTGCACCGGCCTGTTGCGCCATGGCTTGAGCGATGCGTTACACCACACGTTGTGCTTGCGCACAATTACCTGCGCCATAGGTTGAGCCGTAAGCTGCGCCATAAGATGCGCCACCAGGGCATGCCATAGCTTGCGCCATAGGTTGCGCACCCAATGCGCCCCACAAATCGCGCCTTACGTTGCGCCTTAGGTTGCGCCCTCAGGGCGTGCCATAGGTTGCGCCGATGGTTGCGCCACAGGTTGCGCCAAAGGCGGGGCCACTTTGTGGCGCTGCGTTTCAACGGAACTCCTGGTGCGCGCATTGTTCGGGGAAACGTCGTGCTGGCAGGCGGGCGTCGGGACTCCGGGTGCAGCCCGCAGGATAATGACAACGGACGCGGCAGGGATGACGACGACCATTCTGTGGCACCTGTGGCGCGCCACACCGCCGATTCAGTGCTAAAGCGCAGTGCCCGTTGACACTGCCCGCAAGATTTGGCGGCGAACCGAGGGGGGAAATGACAGGGGGCGGGCCTTCTGAGAAGGCTCAGAAGGCCTCCGTCCTCCTGAGAAGATGTCCAAGCCTCCCCCGAAGACACGGAGGGCGTCTCTGAAGGCCAGAGGGCTTCTGAGAAGTCCCGCCGCCTTCTGAGAAGGCCTGCCCCCTCTCACTCCCCCCCTGGGCTCGCCGCCGAAAGATATCCATTGGAGGTCGCCCATGAAGCAAACAGGTCCCACAAGATACGGGTTTCGGACCGCACGGACAGCCCTCGTGGACCGGCACTGCTTCAAGGGAACCTCGAACGCCCGCGCTGGGGTCGCCGCCGCTGCGGCTGTGGCGACGACCGGCGAAGAGGGTGCAATTCCCGCCACCCTTCGCGAGGATGGCGCCAAAGCTGTGAGAAATCCTCATGCCCCTCCTTCATATCCCATCCCCACCCAATCAAATTCAATATGTAATTTGTTTGTGAATGTTGTTTTTTATTGCCCTGGGCACGGCCCCCTGCATCAGGGCCCGCAATGCCTGTGCACACCACGGCAACTGTGAACACCGCAACGTTCACGTATAACATAACGCCCGTGTGCGGCCTGTACACACCACATCTCTGGGAGCTACGAGCGCCGCAATCCGACCGCCGCACCAACGCCTCTCAGCAACAGGGCACCACTGCGTCCGTGAGAGCACCGCGCCACGCCTGTGAGCGAGACAGAATGCTTGTGAGCACACATGTGAGCGTCACAGCATGCCTGCCTGGACGGAGGGGGGGTCCGCACCCCCGTCCCCGTACGCTCGTTACCGTTACGGGGGGGGGGACCGCCCCCCCGTAACGGGCGTTACGGGTCCGAGCAATAAAAAAACAAGCTCCTTTCGCAGGTTCGCGCAGATTTCCTGGAACTGCGCTGAACCGCCGCTTCGGCGCGCGGAGCGCGCCAGGGGCGGTGCTGGAGGCGCCGCCCTGGGGGCCCAGAAATCCGCGCGGAACACCGGACGTTTGCGCGCTTCTTCGGAGAACAGGACCAGCAGAAGGCAGAGGGACAGGAGGACGGCGGGCCGCTGAGTTGAGGCACTCCAGCTTGTTGAACACGCCCGCCTTCCCACGGCGCATGAAGAACAGCTCGCGGCCGACGTCGCCTGAAGTCCGCCCAGGGGGGCGCGCGCGGACCCGGGGTCCGCGCGCACCTGGATCGGCCGAGGCCACGTCTAACCAATGCTGCATCTGGACTTGTGTGATGTATTCCAAATACCGTTTCTTTGCTCATGGGAGCCCCGCCTGCCGCTCAGGAACGTCCGGACCCGGGGTCCGCTGGGGGGGGGTCCAGGGGTCCTCGAGGCGGTTGGCGCCCCCGCCACGGCAGGGCGGGGCGCCCAGGCGCGGGGGGCGCGCTCTGGCCTGGCGCGCCCGCGCGCAGACGCGTGCCACCAACTTCGGGCGGGTGCTAAGTTGGGGTGGCCCAACACGGGGTGTGAAGAAAAGAGCTCCAAAGGAGCCCTGCAGGACCCCTTTGGAACCACAGCAGGGGCCCCAAAAAGGGCCCCAAAGCGGCCCTTGAGGGCCCTATTCCTCACCCCCCATTTGAGGTCACCCCCCATTACCACCCGACGGACAGCTGCGAAAGGAGAACGGAAATGCGGGGGGTTCGGCCCCTGCATGGCTCCGAGACCCAGGCCAGCCAGCAGGAGATTGGATGACCCCCGTCGGCGCCGATCGCCCTAACGCTCCGCCCCAGCTGGCTCTGGACCCATACCTCGGGCCTCGCGCGGCCGTCTGGGAGGATTCTGGCCTCCACCGAACCCACCCCTGCCGAGCCCCCCCGACACACCTCGGAGCAGGGCGAGCTGGGAAAACGTCAGCTCCAAATCGATCCCCGCACCCCTCCCAGGGCCCAAAAGCACAAACTTTCCGAGCTGCGTCAAGCCGTGGCGACAAGGACCCCCCCCCCTCCAACGGCCAGCTACCGTGGTCTCGGTTTGGGACGCCCGCAATAGGTACGGAAACAATGGAGGGCCTCCTGTCTCATGGGAGCCTCCCGTGTCATCATGCTGGCTCTCGCGAATCGAGGGTAGCTGACGCTGACAGATACAAGTCGACGCTCATCGACGCGAAATCGACGTCAAATCGACGCTACATCCACGCAGGTCGACGCTGCATCGGCGCTTCGGAGACAAAGTGAGGATCACTTCGGATGATGATAAACATAATCCCTAAGAACTGGCGGGTCTGGAAAATGTATCGGGCGCCGTGGCCGTACCAGAGCGTCACGGAAAGCGTGCCGGGACGCTCTGGAATGATTATGTATCCTTACTCTAGGCCTGCCTCCCCTGAGATCACCGCTGCAAGCCATTTACAACGTGGCGGCAAGTCACGAGCCCGAGACTCTATCTTTCTGCATAAATTTTCGAGCCAGATCGGTCTGCGAGGGTCCCGGGGCCCGCAACTGGGCGACAACGACGTTTGTGAAAAAGCTGGGGTGCCCAGCCCAGAACTGGGGCCGAGAGAAGCGGACTGACTGGACCAACACACGTCCTGAAAAGCCACCAGCAGACCCCGAGAATCCGCCACCCGGACGCGAGACGGCGCCGGGTCACTTCCCAAGACCCTGCAAACGGGATGTTTGTAAATGGGGTGGTAACTAAGGGTGCGTTTCCAATTGTGCTTTCGATCAACTGATTTGCCGCGCACAACTGCGAGGTAATCCCCCCGCCGAGAGTTCTGATGATTCCTCGACGATTTTTTCGTCCCAATGTATTATGCACCATTGCGAGGCAAATGCCCTGTCACCCTGTGCTCATTCGTAGAGGCCCCCAAATACCACCCCGTTTACTAACACCCAGTTTGCTGGGGCTTGGACTTCGGAGGGGGGGGGTCGGGGGCGACGATAGGGGCGAATAGCCGAGGGGCGGGCGTGGCACGTATTCGCCCGGGAGCCTTGTCGAAGACACAGATCGTCGGCGCCCCTGGATACATGCTCTGCTCTCCCCATGGGCTACTCGCCCCGATCGTCGCCTCCGAGGGTTCGCGACGCGCCTGGCCCTGCCGGCGCCTCCCGGCGCCGGGAGGCGCCCCTGCGCGTTCGAGGCAGGCGCCACGGCGACGCGGCCGCAGCCGGCTGCACGAGGCAGATCTCGGCCCTCCCCCCCCCCCTTTCGGCGCCGCCCTGCAAGAGTGGGGGACAGGGGCACCCAGCATGGCTGTCTTGAGGTGGAGCCACGTGTCTTTTTGTGTGTCCAGGCCACCCACGGGGGGATCCAACACCGCGTCGGGCCCAGGAGGGAAGGAGTGAGGCTTCACGGGGGCCAAGGGGGCCCCAGGAGGCTCCAGGAAGGCCAGGGAACACCAGAAGACTCCAGCAAGGAACCAGGAGCGCCCGGGGGGCTAGAAGAAGAACAGAACGCCTGCGGATGTCTTAGCTTCTGCGCTTGGCCCGGCGCCGGAGGCGCCGCCAGGGGGGGCCAGCGCGGATCCAAGAAATCCGCGCGCAGCGCCAAAAGTTTATGTTCATGGCGTTTTGGTCCTCTTCGAGGAGCGGTCCAAAGCACGACTTCCTGCCGTCGGGTGAGCCTGCGGAGAGGACGGCCAGATAGTCTCAGTGACGATAACGACACCCACAAGCAGGCACGCAAACAAATTCATGCATCGCCCAGGGCGCAGTTGCGTGACGGGCCCCCTGTAGGCATCGCCATCGTACAGTAGCTGCGCTGCATCTTGGGGGGGGGTCGACCCCACCGCCGAGCGAAGGGTCGACAGTATCGGGACCAGCGCGACAACCGGCAGAACACACAAGCGTTCGGAGCTCTGCGCGGGTTTCTCTGATCCGCGCTGGGGACCCCCTCCCGGATCCCCGCGGCGCGCGCCAGGAGCGGCGCCAGCGGCACCGGAGGGGTCCACGGCCGATCCAACAAATCCGCGCGGAGCTCCGAACATTTATGTTGCTGCAGCTTTATTCTTCGGGGGAGTCGGGTGTTGCCAGAAGCGTCCTGGCCCAAGGTGACCCCAACATGTCCTGCCATTTTGGAGCCTTTGAGGCCCTCTGGGCCTCGTGAGGGCTGCTCCTGAGGCCATCTGGGCCGATCACCCGCCATGTCTTCCGGGAAAAACCGCATCCAAGCAGACCTCCAGGCCCCACCCCCTGGACGGCGCAGACAACACCCCCAGGACGAAGACAGCGAGCGCACAATCGAGGCGTGGCCACGAGAACGGGGCTCGGAGGCATGAGGCCCTGCGCCACAGGCCCAGGGCCCCATGGGGATGCTCCATGCGAGGGACGCTCCAAGGAAGGCACGAAGAGCAGAAGGCTGCCCCTCCGCAGCCCGGGGGTTGCACCCGACCCCTGCGCCAGCCGCAGCAGCACATGGCCAGCTCCAGACCCCCAGGGAGGCCCGAGACTGCTGTCGCCTCTCGGGTACGCAGCCTGTGCCTCCGCCGGCCTCCCCCGCTGGCCTCCCACCGATCGGGGAGACGTAAGACTCGGGTACGGGGGACGCGGGTTGGCCCGACGGGGCCATTATAAAAATGACGAGGCCCAATCTGAAATTCGACGCGAGCTCCCGCTGCAGACGTCCCCCGAGAACTGGGCCATCAAAATCCAGGACACGCTCGTCAAAAAAACGTCGGCAAACCCGAGTTCCGGCTTACTCGGGTCTTGCGTTCCCCCGAACCGAGGAAGCGATGCCAACTCCTTCGATCCTCGAAGGCGAGGCCCTTCCTTGAGGAGGAGGAGGCGGAGGAGGAGGAGGAGGCGGAGGAGAAGGAGGAGGCGGAGGAGGAGGAGGGGGAGGAGGAGGGGGAGGCGGAGGAGGAGGAGGAGGGGCCTGGGGGTGCCCCTCCAGAGCTAGAGCTGCACTTCCCTCTCGTGCCAGCTGCGCGCGCAGCCGGCGCCGAGGCGAGAGCGGACGGGTCCCAGTGAGGGGTGCGGCCAACGCTCGGGGCGGCAGCGCCAGGAGCTGCCGAGCCAGGTGCGCGGCCAGCGCCGAGGCGAGAGCACGGCTCCCGAGCAGACGGGGGTGGACGGTCCCCCTGTGGTAAACATTGTCGAACGAGCGAGCTGCCATCGCCGCAGAGGGCGACCCAAAGACGGGCGAAGGGCGTGCGTGAGCACGGTGGCCCTTCGGAAGGGACAGAGGCAGAATCAACGCGGTGCATTTTCACGCCCATGAGGAGTCCACGAACTCGTTTTCGTGCTCTTCCCACTCGGCGGTGGTGACTGTGTAGGTCCACTGGTCACAAGGTATGGGTGTAACAATTGAAAGCGTGACCAAATCTTCCCCACCTGCAGACCCTTTCTTAAGTAAGACGTCCTTCAATCGAGACGACCTGGGACCAGACCCGGCGGGCGCTGGCCATCCAAACCCTTCTGCCGCAACACATTGTCGAGAACTGAGAATGCAATGACTGAATCGACTTGGCAGGGTGGTCGCTCTATCAACTCCGAATAAAGAAAGCATGTTGCCAGCGCTTAGGTCCGTACACCTCGGATCCGACTGCGAGTGAGATCGTTAGCGGGCGACCAGCTGTAAAACATATGTTTGCTTCGCCGTCGGGGACGGCTGCCGCATGGCAGCTGGAAAACGTATACCCCGACGTGCCACCGCGGGGGTATCAGCTGTCCGGTCGCCCTTGGGCAAACGTCCCTTACGGCAGAAACGGATATGCTATACCGTTATTCAGCCGCTAATATCGGGCTGGATTGGCACGGAGTCGAATTAGAAACGGAACGGCCGTGCCATAATGCACAACAACACCTCGCAGGGCACAAAGACGCATTGGTTTGTCAGAATGTCAGAACCGGATCGGATCAGGCTGGCCAGAATTGATATCGAGTCGTATCGCCCGTATCGAAGACCCCCCCGCGGAGGGGCCAGTGCGCATTATCACATCAAGTGGCAGGTAGACCTTGTCCGTCAGCTGGCTCACGATGAGCGACAGCACCTCCTTCGACTGCATGCGGAGGAAGGGGGC